TGTTTGATCGTTATGAGCGATCGGAATTATTTCGTACGAATTTCAACATATTCCAAAAGTAACAACAAGTCCGACCTTCTTGTGACAATTAATATGAAATTTAAATGTATTTATGCAATACGCCGTATAAGCGATATATGCGCATACGTCGCAAGAATTGCAACCCAGTTATCGTGTTTCTAAGTAATCTATTTTGAAGATACTCAATAAACACTTGCATGCAGGTGGATTTTAAATATGTGTTTTTGTGTTTCACTTGAAATATGTATGTGTTAAGATATTAATAATTCAAATTACGTAACGGTAAAAAAACGGTTTTTATACTATACTTGATAGTGTTGTCAGTTTAATAACTGGTAGAACCAAATTAAAAATGCACAGAATGATATTAAGTAGCCTGTACAGTGATTTTTCTATTAACATCAACTTAAAACCAAATGATGCGTGCATTTACATATCATTTATATGCTAAAAAAATGTCAAAGATAGCGAATTTACATTTATATCAGAGCCTGTTCAGTGTTCAATAGCTCTATCAGGTGATAAGACAATCTCCATTGTTAGAACCTTTTAAAAAATATCAGTAGCAAATGCTATTTATCACTCAATCAAAAAATGGACGATATCTTGACGTTTATGGAAGCTATTCCTAATTGTTAAAATGGAGGTAAATGTCGATTTGACATTACAACTAGAAACAAGAAAGCATATATCCATACTAATACTATAAACTGAACAGTTTGTTTGTTTGAACGCGCCTATATTAGGAACTACTGGTTTCTATTGAAAAAATATTTTTGAAGGCATTAGGGTATAAAACATCACGTTGAGACTAGCAGAAGCAAAGAAATATTATTATCTAAAAAAATGTCCGCGACAGTATATTTATATATTTTAAAATTAACACACAACAACCGTTTTTATTATATAATATACGTACTTAATCAAATTTTGGTCGAAATATTTCATATGGCAAAATGATTTGTCAGGTCACCTCGTTACTAGAAATATAGACTTATATCAAATTCAATGTATTTATTTAATGCAAGTAATATATATATATACGTATATGCAATAGTATGTGCCTCTATATAATAACTAATTCATTAAGGAAACATCTTCTACACTTCTTCTATGTATGTATAAAAGTTATAGTGATGACATTTAAATCACGAATCCTTGCAGCCACAGTGCGATATTTGTACGTAGTCCTATCAAACAAAGGTCGCTAAGATAGCGTGCTGATAACGCAATATCAGATCGGTGATAACAGGAGCTGATACATTACGTCATAACACATGGAGACACGATCGACGAATATGCTGAGCGCGATATTTTTATTTATTTTGGTGATAGGCACTGGTTAAGCAATATAGGTCTTAAATACTGTCTATAGTTTACGCGAGTAGTACACATTTAAATAAAACACTTTAACGGTTTAAAACGCGATATATTAATGAAACTTATTTGAAAATGATTTTTAACTTCAGGTCGAAGTTAAAAATCATTTTCAAATAAGTTTAACTAATATATCGCGTTTTAAACCGTTAAAGTGTTTTATTTAAATATAGGTCTTTTCATACAACACTTGTGTATTACGACCAATAGGGTATCAATCCAGATATTAGTTGTACAGGCTAATAATGGTCGTGGGTTCTATCCCCACCGGGACAAACATGTTGTAGGATGGTAGGAAATCTGCAGACTGAAACTGAAACGCGAATAGATTTCGTTTCAGTCTGCGGATTTCCGAACGTACAATGCTATCACCTGGGCGTATTTTGAGCTGTTATATGGCTATTTGACCTTGCATCGAGTAAACGCCATGCTTTTCTGTCCTCCTCCCCAAATAAATAACGCAAGTTACGTTCAGGAGTTCGATGTCTGGTCGTGCGTAAAAAACAATTCGAATACTATCACAAGCCCCAAAGATGGAAACAGGCGATTAAGTATTTTAAAGGATGGTTAATATTTCTGATATGTGAGTTTTTACGAGAATTCTCGTTCTTGGTAAGAAGGCATAGGATGTGAAATAGGGACGCGGGTGGTGGGCGTCCGGATCGATGCGACGACCTTGACATTTAAGGAGCATTTGTTACTCAATGTAACGTCACCTGCTAGTTAAAGGATCCCTGACATGTCTCGGTAACCCGTTCTCGTAACCCGACAAAACAAACGCGTAAGTAAATACTTTGATAAAAAAATATGTTGACGCCACTTTAGTTCAATTAAAAGCCCATGTGTCCTTTTTTTTAAATAAATGTTTAATCTATATATAACACTGTCTGTAGCTTACGCGAGTGGTACGCAATAAAATAAAACACTTTTAACGGTAAACACAATGTATTAGTTAATTTATTTACAAATTATTTTAAGTACTGCCGGACGTTGTGAATGCTTTGCAGCAGGCGTGGTATCGGGGACTATAAAACCGTTAAATGTTTAATTTAAATAAGTTATAAACGCGAAATCATGTTTCAAGCGTTAATAGTAGTTATTTGAAGCAAGGGTCCAGTGTTACTATTATTTCAAACTTAAAACTATGGCTTCACTACATAGTATAAAACAAAGTCGCCTTTTCTGGCCCTATGTACGCTTAAATCTTCAAAACGGATGATGGGTATTCTTATAGTTCATGGGTTAGTGATTCAATAGGAAGGTTTTTATAAATTGTCTAAGTTTCATATAATTTAAATAAAACACTTTAGTATCCGCTGCTGCAAAGCATCCAAACGTCGGGCCGAAGTTAAAAATCATTTTCAAATAAGAATAATAATCGCGTTTTAAACCGTTAAAGTGTTTTATTTAAATGTTCTTATATACAAAGTTCAAAGTTTTCCTGAAGTGTATTTAGTATCAGCATTGCACCCAAGCGAAGCCGGGGCGGGTCTCTAGTTAAATATAAAGGCGACTATTTTTTAACCTGACACTTAATTCATTATTTATAATGGATAAACTATTCCGCTTTCGATAAACACATCTGTGAAGTTGGTTAATGAACGTAGTAACATAAAAGTATGGCAAGATGCATGGGACCAATTCAAATGTGGTGGTCCTTCCGGGAAATGACTTGCGCCGAAGCCACACGGCGGCAGGTAGACTCCATTCAACGGTCAGAACCATTATTCCAAAATCCCTTATAAATTAAACATCTCTTAAAGGGAAAGACGGTAGACGGATTTGCTTTGAATAGTTCTCTGTTATAGTAACAAAGTAAATAATAATTTGCGTGACATGTGACTGTTGTTTTAAACTATGTTAAAAGATCTATCGAAAAAAAAAACGATGACACGGGCTTTGGGTGTAGGTTCGAGTCCCGAATCAGTTGAAGTAGATTATCAATTTACTTTTCACATCCTTTATATGCTTTTACGTGCTACATACTATGAAAAGTAAGATTTGTTTCCATTAAAACAGCAAATAAGATCCATGCAGAGGTTTAAGCAATAGACAAACAGCTCACATGATATAATTTTCTCTCCTGTCATTCTTTTTCTTTTCACTTTCCACACAGTTTTCGATATTGTTATGAAACGAAGATACCAATTAACAATCAAACAAAAATCATTGTAATAGGAGAAACGCTGTTATAATAAGATAAAAAACGACAAATATAATACAAATAAACATTTTAACGGTTTAAAACGCGATATATATTAGTTAAACTTGTTTGAAATTTATTTTTAACTACGGCCCGGATGCTTCTCACGGCATGTTTTATTTAAATGTGTACACATTTAAATAAAACACTCGCGTAAACTACAGACAGTATTTAATATAAGTAATATTATTCAACTCAATTATTTCAAATCACTTATGTTTTAATTTTTTCAAGATATGTTTAATTAAACTAAATACCTATCATAATTCTAAATACCTCTAATATACTCTATGTATATGTTATTATAACCTATTATAGCTTTATTACAATATGTAACATCTTTAGCTAATATGGTTATGCAAAGTGTGCAAAACAGAGTGTGAAAGTATAAATTATCTTTTGACATGCAGATCATTATCCGATACTTACTGGTATAAAACTAATAAACACGTTACGATTAACTAAAACGCAATACTGTCTATGTCATGAAGTTTGGTTAGAATTTTTAATCCCAGTTAGCACGGATGAGGAAAGACAAGTAAGGGATTCAATTGGCTCTAGGCTTCTTTTGTCTTGGACATCTCACAATCAACGGATTAACACCCAAACGCGTTTTGACATATATATATGTGTATGTGTGTGAATCTACAGCTTACGACTTAGGTACCATCTGTGGACGGTGGCTTATAACCAGGACGAATTTCGATTTTACCTGCCACATTTGTAACAAGCAAAGCCGCGATGTGTATAATTATTTTCACATATTATGACAGATTAATATATTATCATAAGCTAACAATCATGCGTAAATGTTTTTAAAATTATTGCACAATATAAAATTAATTGAGTCGTTAGTTTCAGTAAAAAGATTACCACTTTATTAAAATATAATATGAGAAAGATATGTTTTACTAACGTAGCTTCTGCTCAAAATCATTGAAGATTTTGGTTAGTCGGTATCCAGCAAGATACCTAGGTATAAAGTATACTTTTCATATTTTAATCTCTAATCGTTTATATACAACGCTAGCTGTATACGTAGCTATTTGAAGTAAATGATAAATGTGGAACCGATATGCTAACTATCATAACTATTTCACACAGAATATTAGTTATGTTTATATTATGTAGGTACATTTAAATGATAATTACGAAATTATCAGTGGGTTTATTGCTTGTGAAATTTTCGAGATAAGTTGGTGCCTACCAAATAAGTGTATTGACCATGTACTGGGTGTTTGATAACGTAAAAAAATATAATGACTTCATTCATTTGAATCTGGCTATTTGTAGGTAGAAACGCTAGATCCATGTTTAGCCTAACCCCTAAATGGTCAATTGATTGTTCGTATGTACGATTAGAATCAAAGGAAGTCAGGTTTCTCTGATGTCAACCTACCTCCTGGATGTAGGAGTGTATCTGGATGCACAGTGCCGTCCTTGTGCAGCAGCAAATGTGCGGGCTGCGTGGGCAGGTAGCAGGCGGGGGCGGCTGCATCATTTAAGCAGCGTTGAAAGCAACGAGCAGCTTGGTAGCACAAGGCCCAGGCGTGCTCTTCGCTTACGTTCGAGTTGAACGCCTGCAGAATCTGTTGCAGGTTCAACCGAGATTCACCGTCCAGAACGCACACCGCGCCTGCCACACTCCCTTCGCTAGACATGGTGCTGACGCAGCAGCCTACCCACCAGGGCCGATGTATGTTAACACCATAATATCATTTACACATACAAATCACTCCACCCATATGAAAATTGTTCTTACACAACAATTTTGCCACTAATTTCTGTTTACTTCCTACAAGAGCATAACAATATTCTGTATTTCTTAGATTAAACGTCACTGTCACATTGCATCACATTTGTTTTCATTTTTTATTATACTGGGCTGTTTGTAGCGATTTTACATTTTCATTTTCCAAACGTAGGTATATACGTGTTGGAGATCGCGAAAGCGCGTGCGCGTTGTAAAGCTGTATTCGAGTGAGCACGATACACATGCACTGTTATCGGCAGTTCGTTATAAACTGCCGAGTGCCGTCACTGCCGTCTGCCGCTGCCCGGTGAGCGCGGTCCGTTCAAACGAAAAGGCGCTCGCTCAAGCCGCTCCAAGCGTCGAATCGACTCGGGCAAAATTAGTAACTAAACTTCAAATAAAAAAATGAATAAAACATTAATTTAACGACGAATATTAGATAAATAATTAATTCAAGAGATATGATGTCAATAGAAATGTGGGAAATTATTTGGTTGTATATGTAATGTTATTTAATGAATGAATACACATTTATAAAGAGAATAAGTAATGAACAAATTCTTTCACCAATAAATTATCATTTTCGTCTGTATTTAAAATAAATGACTAGTAAAACACCAATACATTTTTGTTACTTAGGGAATAAATTTGATGTTTATTTGCTATATATTTTTAACATTCTTGATTTGGCCGCCTCTGTAGCTCAATAGTTAAAGGTTTTGCCTAGCATTGAGTTATGCGTAAGAGGTTTTGTGTTTAAATCCCGGGAAAACAATAAATTGTTCAAAGCGAGATTCCACTACTACTATTAACATTCTACATTTACCGTGCAGGGAGGGTATTAGATTATCTCGAGTCAAGTCTAGGATCACCTTAAATAAGGTACTCTTTGGGGACTTGAGGGGATTGTCGATGTCGTTTACTGGTTAGTGATACACGAACAAAGTTCCACTTATTAAAGAGACAGATCAATGCGTTTGTTTACATTGTTAAAGTATTATATTTTTGTGGAAAGACTCCACAACTGCCACTTATTGATAGATAAGCACTGAGTCCACTTGATGGTTGATGGGTGACATACCCCAGCCTATAGCATCTAGACCAGATCCGTTATCAATCTATTTTGGATACTTTATTATATAATATAGTAAGAAAGTATTTGGAATAAATGAAACAATCTTGTAATATGAAATTCAATATTATTTCGTTATGGTTTTTAATAATATAATATATTTTGCATACCATACATTATCGGTAATATAATTGATGACCGATCCTTGAACAGTGGAACATGACATTCATCAATATTCGTTTAACATTCTTTTAATAAATAGCTGTATACAAAAAAAAAAAAACAATTATTATTTACAGAATAAGGCAGTACAATTACCACGTAAAATGTGCCTAGTCCTTAATTTAGCTATACAAGCGGTAAAAAATTTAACTTTATACGATTCGAATTAAATCAGCAACGAGTTAAACGAGTAAAAGCGGTTAGTGAACTTGTTAACTACCGTCAGCGAGTCGCGAAATATCACCTTTAGATTGTTATGGAATTTTAACATAATATCTATACATTTAACATATGTGAATGCTGGGAAAACGTTCGCAAGGCTCGCCGCACACCGGGCGAGTAGCCGTGGCGTCGCTTGGCTGTGGCCCGTGTGCGGGGGCCCTTATACGCGATGCGACACGAATCGCAATCCACCTCCACGCTATGGCATTCCTTCGCAAACGACGCGCACCGTTCCGCTCTCGTTCAATGCACACTTCAACACTTACGCCTACACATTTTTATAAAAAATGATTTTGTGACGAAAATTACTCTACACTGAAGTGACTATAGTTTGTGATAAAATGCGAAGCTTTCGGGCAGCCAGCCGGTGTCATATACGGCGTTCTGGTCACAAAGAGTTAATCATAATATCACAACAATCAGCAGAATAAAACATAACGATAAAACAGGGTGAAGGTCATGAACAGCCCCAAGTCTAATGAAACTACTTCTTAGGCGATAACTAAGTCTCGATTTTTAATTCGCGGTCGTCCTCTCGGTCCGAGCTCGTGTACGGTACTACTTCGACTATTGTTAAACCAAATACACGCGTTAGATATTAAACAAGGTATGTCTTTTAAAGCTTGTGTTTATATTATATTAATTAAACGTAAAAGTAGCACCGTAAGCGGGTAAACACATTCAGATTCGAACTTGTCGCTCGTGGAATATGAAACGGCGTATCCCAACGGCGATTGGGCGCCGAAGCGATGCGTGGCTCGACTGGAGGGCCGGTGACTGGCGACTAGATAAGGCACGACGCGGCGCCGGGGTTCTCTAAATGACCAGCGCCATGTCGCGCTTGCTGGGCAGCTGCACTTTCTTGCCCTGCCACAGCGAGTTGTGTATCGTGAACGCGTCGATGGTGACCGTCAAATGCTTGGTGTGCACTTGTGAGAAGCACTTGCTGCCCGAATTGTACCTGTAGGTGGATGATGCGGATTAGTAAAAAGGTTACAGCTCTATGACCGGATATCTCGCATGATGTAGGAGAAACCAGCCGAATAGCATCAGTAACAAGATCATAACTTTTTGGTCTTTCGAGCCGGATGTATGGAGTTATATGCACTCACTTAAAGAACTTGTCGAACATGCGGTCATTGACATTTTTGGGGCCGGTGCCGTAAAGTTTGGTGATTTGCTCCGTTTCTGGACAATAAGCGTAGAGAGCTCTGAATTGGCAGCCGGCATCCCGGAACAGCACCAGGAAGTGCTTGCTCTCGGAACGCGCGATTTCCTCCAATACGCGGCGTTTCGCTTCTGCGTTCACCGCACCCGGGAACACGCAGTATTCCACCGCATTCAACATTATACCACGATTTGATTTCGTCGCCGGTTGCTTGTACAACCTAGGACCTGAAAAAACGTATTTTTCTGACTACAATATATTACATATTGCTTGTACATAATCAGTAAACTACTAAAAAAATGTATTAAACATAACAAAAGCCTAAATAAAAATAACCTAAAAATATGTGCAAAATAATTTTGACTTTCGCCGTCTACTTGATGTGACCTGGTTGAATAATTGTAACTTAAACTACTTTCTTGAAATGATGTTGCTGCGAGATGTTATTATCGAAAGATGGAAAAGCAGAGTGAAGCGCACACAAGGTGAGTTAGTAAGATCAAGATGCTTCAAACACAACCCATGCCGCGTCACAAACACTCGGTGACAAGACGCATGATATTGGCATGACATCGCATTCACTTGGCTCTTGTGCACGGTGCACCAGCCGCGAAAATTGCAATCAACTATCGTATTTTTTTAAATAATCGTAAAAACCTTTTCCTCGCACTCGGTAGCTTGCTTTGAGAAAATAAATAAACATTAACACCCTATAACCTATCAAATTATTCATTTAATTTTTGTATAAACGTTTAGTATAAAACACTATCAGCAGTTTAGCTCCAGAAACATATTAGTTTTTAACTATAACCTGACGTTTTGTATGACTTGCAAAGGTGGTGACTTGCAATGGTGCCACGCGTGGTGGCACATGGGTAGCATATATTGCGCGTTTAAAACTGTTAATAGTGTATTCACAGTCTGTAGTTTACGCGGTAATACACATTTAAATAAAACACTAACGGTTTCAAACGCGAGATATATAATATGATAAACTAATTTAAAAAAATTACAACGTCTCGACGTTTCCCCGTGACTACGGCTACTGCAAAGAATCTGAAGGTTTAACTAATATATTACGCGTTTAAAACCGTTCAAGTGTTTTATGGAAATCTGTGCTACTCGAGGAAGTCACAGACATTAGTGTAAAGTATTTTCTTTCCTTACAAATAAAAATGCCTAGCGATCATCGATATCAATACGACTCGAGTTGTGTATATGTAAAGATTTTATTCTTACCGGAGTAATCCATAATCGAGGAGTGTGTGGATGAGACGTCCGATGTGTCGTCGTGGTGTGCGCCATGATTGTGCCGCTGAGTTCGCTTCCCAATGGCGCCAGGCAGCGAACCGGGTCCCGAGCCGGAGCCCGAACCAGGAGAACCCAGGGTGCGCAGCCCTGGAGAAGCAGCCCGCCGCGGAGGAGTGGCGCGACCAAGACCCGAGTCTGTCACACACACACACACACTCAGCTGTGCACTCACCTCTATGGTAACCTTTACCTCACACTTACGTCACATGTATACAACTACTATACAATCCCATATTATATGCAAGGGTTCAAGTTATGATAAAATATACTTAAGCAAATTTTCAAACTGGCACAACAGGCTAACTATGTCTGAATGAAGCTTAAAAAAAAAAATTCGTTATATTTCTCTGACCAGTATAAAAATCGACTATGAAACTAGATCAACACACTTCTAATAATATTGTTGAGTTGGGTATTAGCAATTCGACGTCTAGCATAACAATACGATTAGTAAATTACATATATAGTATTATATAACTATCATAAGATTATTTTAAAATGATTATACCAGCTACTGTATTATTATAGATCAATGAAGTGGTAGTATTATTGACTGTTTGGTTTGTTTCAAATACCTAATCGACTACAAAGCAGACATTATTTCATTATACAATGCAGAATTGGGAACATTTTAAAGCTACTGCAAAAAAAAAGGAATAATCTATGCTACAAACGCCGAAATATAAAAGAAACGAGTAAATCTCTCATGTAATATTAACTAAATTATACGATAGATTTTCTAATAAACATAAACTAGCTACAATATAGAAGGCTGTAGAAATTGTCGAAAAGCATTCGCGTCAAGAAATCCGACCACCACCGATGTCATACCAACACCACACATGAGTAGAAAGCCGCAAAGTAGCATGCAAGAGGATTCTCCGACGCCCAAAAGAGAAAAGAAACTGTTTGCAACATAAAAACACGCCGCGGATGTCAGCTTTTGTATTTTCTATTTTTTTATGATACAAGGGGACAGTCGACTTTTTCATGTCCAAAGATGGTTCGATATTCGTACCACAAATTTAATATCCAGCTTTCCAGAATAAGTCTAAAAAGTTTAAAAAACATTATTAATAGGTTGGACCCGATGAGGATCGAAATCACGACCCGTTGATTATTATCTACCATTACACCAATGTGAAAATATAAAAAACAGACATCCGGCGCGTGTGTGGGAAGGCTGAAGTGGGGTCCGCCACCGAAGCTGTGCGCGGCGAGCTAGCGGTGGCGAATCAAACGAATCTTACCGCACAAGTTCATAAGAGAGCTAGATTTCCTTCCCGCCTTAAAGTTACTCTGGTAAGTGGAATATTTAGACCTTCCACGTGTCGTCGGCGGTTCCTCGCCGACGCGCTCTGAAATGTTTGTCTCAAGTGAACACGCAACACGCAACGTGCCGGCACTCGGGCGCATGCAGAACTCGTTACAAGCCGCAAATAACAAAAATGTACCGCGTAATATTATATGTACAAGTATACGGTCTCGGTCGCGGAAGGTCTAGGAACGGGGCGCTAATGTCACTCGTAGCCTGGAGGACCGAGCTTAGGGCTCCGGACTACGGGCGAGACATGGGCTGTGGACAAGCGGGTGGCACTCGGGTATATAACTATATACTGGAAGGATACACACATAAATCGATAATATAGATACTGACGAAGCGTCTACAAATAAAATCAAAGAAGCATAGGCGATAATCTGCCGCCCGGCCTGGCCGCTGTTACGTCTTCATACACGCAGAACTTGATGTAAAAAACTCTCATACGTTTAGTGACAATCATCTTTAAATGTTGTGTTCTGTTTTCTTTGTTTACCAAAATCGTAAGTTATTGTAAAGTTGCATGTGTCAACTAAAAAATCCTGTTCTGATCATATGTTTAGCGTCAAACTGTACATCGTATACTGTGTAAATATATGTATTTAGAATCTTCAAGACCAAAATGGATATATCTAAATTCAAAATCGATTTTTAGATTGAGAGCGTTCCGTGCTGTTGTTGAATTAAGTTACCATAATATCGCGTTTTAAACCGTTAAAGTGTTTTATTTAAATGTGTACTACTCGCGTAAACTATAGACAGTATTTACCATAATAATTCAAATTGGTTACCATAAGACAGGCATTGCCTAGTTTGGGATCACATTAAAAATAAAAATGAAATATACATCCACTTACACAAGTAGCACATATTCTTATTTTAGTATCGCATACTCTTTAGATATACTGAAAATACTTTTTTTTATATAGTGAGTTTATTGTGATCAAAATAGGGAAAATCTTTTTATCACTATCACTAGTTTGTATAGATTTTAGTTTTAACAGATGTGTATTAAATATGTAAAACTTGTGTGTAAATAAATAAAAAAATTACATTTACGACAGCAAGGATCGCTGATAATGCCGGTTTCAAACGTGATGTCGTATTTTTTAAAATCTAACAATCGATTTTCAATTTACATACTGCCATCATGTGAAGATTGTTAAAGTTTTCAAATGGATAGATCTGTAAAACTTCATAAATCGGTTTAGGTTAATAGAAATAGGCGAGATAGCGGGATGCACATTATGTACCTCTCGATGTCTTGCAAGATCCACGACGCGCGAGTGGCCCACTGCTGACGCTGCCGACGCTCCCCGGTGACATTGCACCTCGATCCTCCACTGGGGACTCTGTATACAAACAGACAATTTATCAAAAGAACAACACAGTTAACGGTTTCAAACGCGAAATGTTAAATTTGTTCTTTAATTATTTTCAATGACCATGGCTGCTGCAAAGCATTTGAAACACCTGGTCAAAGGTAAAATAAAGCTCAACATTTATCGCATTTAAAACTGTTCGACTTTTATTTAAATGTCAGTATTATTTGCGTAATATACGTATAATATATACATACAATACAATAAGCCCAGAGAATGCCAATTAAGTTTAATACATTTTCATTCCCTAGTCCTCATATACCTTATACTCCCAGTTCTACACTAACCTATCATCCTATATTAGACAAAGAATTTATAGGTAGTAGTATGTATTTTAAACCTAGTTTTTTTAAACTAACCGGTCGACGTGTTCGAGACATGGTTCTTGACGTTTTGTCTGGATATCGACACCAGAACCATCATCATTTCTACTAAGAAGAACTGATGAGTAACAGTTTGAAAACCAAAATAGCTTTGCAAAAAGCCTTCTAAAATTTATATGTTATTTTTAATCAAAGCAAGTTGGCTGGCAATAAAAGTGTGAAATATTATATAAACTCATGCAGGGCAGTGTTTGAACGCTGTACGTACCCCTATAGAGCGTGGTCCTGTCATGCAGGTTGTCCTGTGAGCCGCGGTAGTAGTCCCGTCGCGCTCCGACCCCAGTTCCAACACCTGCGCCTGCGCCACACACACATGCCACTACACTTACACACCTAAATGCATTTGCTCTAAGCACATTTACACAAATATTTAGCTCACATACTTGATATTTTGTAAATCAGGGCTATTTGACTTATTTTTACTTTATATTATTAGGGAGACATCAAGGAATAACAGTAGTATTTTTGAATTCTGATACATATTTACTGTAACAATAATTAAAGTAATAAAATGAGTTACAAATCTATTTATTTATTAAAGCAGAGAATAGAACAGTTTTATTTGTTATAGGATTATTTGTGTCACGTGACAAATATTTAAAAAACATATGTGACTGTTTTACTACTTCTAAACTCATATTTAATAAAAGACGCTATGTTTTTCGCATTGCCAAATAGCCCATTTATGTAAATAGTGTTTGGAGGTATAAGTGCTTAGCGCAAAAAATCAAGAGTTTGCGTGTAGGGAAAAACAAATTATATCACATATTAAGTTTTTAAGCTTTTTGTACGCAAATAGCGGCAAAAAAAAATCTTCATGCACACACTCGATAAAGGTCGACGACGCGGATGATATGATAAAATGTGTAATTACTGTAACTTTAAAGGTTGTCTTTGTGTACCTGCCAGATTGGTGTGTGAAGGCTGATGTCGCAGCATGCCTTCCGCCGCATGTAGCGCACCACTATCCACGTGTATCGTCTTGGGGCGGGCGCGAGGAGCTGCTTTGCCACGCAACCGCGTACCGCTGCCTCCAGTCGTCTGGGACCCACCACCTCCCACTCTTGCTAAGGACTCCATTAGTTCGGATTTATCCAGCACTTTACCCTGAAATTGTATAATATTATATTAATTCTTTATAATATATTTGGGTATGGCAATTTATATCGCAAAGCATTATAAGCATTTTCTTTTTCTAAAATATGTTGGACTTCGTCTGGCAATCTGGATATTCAATACCCATTCAAAATTAGGTAGGAATATCGAAATGCCGTCCGGGCCACGAACGACCGTGAACAGATAAAATAGCCGTGAAGTTTAATCGCGTTTCGGTTTCAGTTTGCGGATATCCTAAGCGAAAATAGGTTATTTATAGGTTTATAGTTATAGGTTATTTAGATAAACAAGATGGGTTGTCGACCTATTTTGGCTGAATAATTAATTGGTGAAACATCCCGTCTACCATCAAGTGTTAGCATAAAAAAAAATATATGTTCGACTATACCTCTCGTTCGGCCTCGTCTATCGCCTTCTTGAGCTTGTACTGGTGCAAAATGGCTTCGCGTCGGCGCGCTTGTTCCTCCCTCCGAGTCGCTTTCAGCTCAGCAGCAGCCTCTTCTCTTGCTCGTCGCGCTGACGCATTCGCTTCTGCTCTCACCCGTGCCTCTTCAGCCCGTTGTCGTCGCTGCAGGGAGAGCATCATTATGCGTTCTTTCTTACGTTCCATCTCCTCTGCGCTATTCTGTTAATAATATTAAAGAAACTATAATTATGCTTTCAAATCGAATTTGGTAGAAAAGTGTATATTGTCCTTTATTAATGATTTTGTGAGGGATGCGAGGTAATGGATGACGTCAGGTGCACATGCCACCCGCGAGAACAACAATATGTAAACAATTACATTGAGTTTTTACTTAGTTTTGACGTGTCTCTTCTCCACCAGTAAGACATGTTTACTGACATTGACAAAATGGTCGCAATATTGCGATTACAAGCCCGAAAAAAATACATTGTGAGAGAATAGAGAAAAAAATTTATAACGAGACAATTTTTTTAAATCAATACTGCCATCAGCATATCACAAGAGATAAGTGGTATTACAACATACCGGATCGGGTGTGAGTTCGCCGATAACTAACGCCGCAGGAGCGACGGGGGTCGAGGGCGTTGCGTTTGTAAGACGCTGCGTCTGGCGAGCGATATTGTCGCGGGCTGAAATATCTCGCGATGGCTCTCGCGCTGGAGACATTCTATTTTTGTCAGTCGCTTCTAATGGTGTATTTCTGAAATACAAATTTTATATTTCCGTTGGTTTATATATATAAATAAAGTATTTATATCAATAGTGTTTCACAAGTACACTACTTCTAATAGAAAATAAAAAGTGTTATGTTTATATTCCAAAATCAATACCTGTGTACAATAAATTGTTCTTCTTCCTGTCTCTCAGGCCAATCGGGCTCAGCAGCGCGATCAGGACTATCGGAGCGCTCCTTGCGAGGCGAACCTCGCTTCTGGCGAAGAGGTGGTTTAGCCCGCTTAGGCTGTTCATCGTCAAAGGATATGTAGAAGCCTTTTTCGTTGGTTTCCTCTTGGCGGAAGGAATCTCGTGAGAGCGACGGGCGAGTAGGCGAAGGTATGCGATATGTGCGAGTGCCAGACGAGATATTAAGGCGCCCGATTGCAGGCAAGGTCTCTTCTTGCTCTGCGTTCCCAATAAACGAAATGTTCTGAGGTTCCATATCGTCAGGTGGGGCGGGCAATGAGGCAGTGCGCTGTGGTGCTCGTTGTGGGGTGCGGTCTCGGCGAGGACTAGCTCGCGGAGACTCGGTAACTGTGTAGCTTAAGTGGTTAAGTTCGCCATTAAAGTGAGCGCTTGGTGCTGTAGCGGCTCGCTCGTGCAGCATGAAACCCTGAGGGGACCAACTAGTACGCTCTGCGACTGCCGGTGGCGGTTGCGGTGAAGGCGATTTCCACGCCCGCTGCGTATCAGTGTACGGCGAGTATGTATTCGATTGCTGATTCTGTTGATGTAACTGAAAAAATTAAAATTTTGGCATGTATTATAAAACAGTATTTAACATTAACAAAATGTTTTTATGAAACCACACACTTTTCCCCCTTAAAGAAAAATATGAACAATATGAAAATAAAAAGAAAACACACTAAAATCACACCTTACACCATGTTGTGACTAGATAAAGACAAGGTGCAGTTACAGCTACTTTATCATCTCTTGTAGCTCCCTTACATCTACTTTACTAAAAGCGGGTAGGCTTGACTACCTACTAACACATCAATACAAACATAAAGAACGGTACTGTGTATAAAAATCATATTTAGACTTTCGTGTGTGTTTTAAGGAATAACAACTAATCTTGGATACATCGAATTGTAAAATCAACATAGACACAACAAAAAAGAATGTTCCACCCCACCTGCCATCCCCTGAATTCAGCGTGTTCGTTTTGCAACTGGGCGTGTTGCGCGTGTTGCGCCCACGTACGCCTCTGAGGATGTTGAGGTTGTGGTGGCGGTGTATCGTGCAGCATGAAGGTCGGTCGTGGGAGCTCAGGCTCTAGTGCACGGTACTGTGGATCCCATTGAGACCCGCAGTCGATCTCGGGTTCGCATCCACCTGCCAGTTGAGGCGTCGATCCAAATCCGCTCGCAGCTGCACGCAACATGTTTTGTTGGGAACTGAACTGACTGTGCTGCAACAGTATTAATTTATTATATTAATATTATAAATATAAAGAGTTTGATAGAAAACTACTTTGAGGTCGGATTTTGATCTTTATGTGCTGAGGAAGTCTTTACGCTATGAAACATACGACTAATAAACGCATAGAAACATTGGAAAGAAAGAGAAAGATTATTAGTCTTTGAGATCTTCCATTGTCTGCTCCGAAAATGGTTAAAGAAATCAAGGCATATGTATAAAGGAATGATTCCTCTTCGAGATAAATGTATCCGTAAATAGTAAATTGCTATATTTTAGGATTCATCGCAATTATTCAATGATTCGCAATAAACGTTTTGTGGTGATAAAATTTGGTGTAAATTAATGAATTATTACTATTTGTTATAGTTGTATAAGCATAAATAATTATTTTCTAAATATTAATGATGCAAACAACAAAACAACGTTTACTAAATCGGATAGCCAATAAACATCGCAAAATAATATAACTAACCAAGTGTGGAATGTTAGGTTGATACGGTTGAAAACTCTGTTGTTGCTGAAACAATTGTTTAGCCTGCTGCTGCTGCAACTGTTGTTGAAGCTGCTGCTGTTGTTGTTGTAATTGTTGTTGCAGCTGTTGTTGCTGTTGCTGCAGTTGTTGCTGATGCTGTTGTTGTTGTTGCTGCTGTAACTGGTTTTGTTGTGTAGCTAGGCGCGCGATGTCGCTCTGTATGTCTTGAAGGCTCGAGTTCATTCTGTAATCATTTACGATAGTGATTTTAGTATATTGTTGTTATTTAGAAATATTATTACATAGAGGCAATTATATTGCAATAAAGTCAATGTAATTAATACAAATTTACTCACTTCGCTATGGACTGTTGGTATTGCTCCATCGCCGAATTTTCTACACCGTGACCGACGTCCGTTCTTACCTCCTAGAAAGAGATAAATATAATCAATTAAAATAAGTTTGTTATCTGAATCGCAATTTATTTTAATTAAAACTAATATTCATTTATCTAAAACATAAAATAAGTATGCAGATTTATAACTCATATTTCCCAACATATTACAGTTATACAACGTTGAATTTGAACAGTAGTACAATAATAATCTAGAATATTTATTAAAGTAGTACTTGCTAGTAACTGAATAATTTCATAACATAAAAGGCTCGGTGACACAAATATACAGTTGGGAAATATTCAAACAATGAACAACAAAACAAAATATAATAAATAAAATAATGCAAGAGGTGACAATCATACATGCATTTTTTAACAAAACATCCCCATGCTTTGAATCTTGCTAGTGTATGTGCAACACACCATTGGTTATACACAGATAGTATCCCTTTTATCACCACTACAAACACTCTGTCTCTTGTATTGTGTGCTTTTTCTAACTTGACAATTTTTATAAACAAACACAATTCACATGAATCGTTAATTTCTCACTAAAAACGCTTTGAAACACTGGATTATATATTAAACTAATAAAACTTCCTCAAATTCACTTAGTAAAAACCACAATAACATGCTAAATTAATATGAATCTTAAAAAATATTTTTTGTAAAAGGACAGATTAAAATTTCTTTAGTTTGTCATTTACACAGGGACGGGATGTAAGCAAAGTCAACGACAATAGAGGGTTGCACTCCTAGTCATGCACAACTGCTGAAAAGCTATAGAAACATCGATTTAAATAATAATGACATTATAGTTTTAAAAAAATTGAGTCAAAATAGTGATTGTGAATATTGAGGTCGGCGGTAAATTGTTAATATGTGAAAACAACACCCCTCTAAAGGTGATCCTCAGGTCTCTATGGTTTGTAATTGGCCATATTTGTTGTAGTCTTTCCTCAAGTCAGAAAAATACACTATACTTATACTTGAACTATTTAATTCTCAAAACCACTTCTTTTATAAGTGGCTTACCTGAGGCGCTTCCTGTTTGCTCTCCTCCACGTTGTCCCCTCCTCTAGTTTTGCCCTGTAACACCGCCACCCGAAACCGTCACACACACATGCTACACACACTTGGGCCAGTACTTCCACACATTCACTTACAGTGCAATCGATTATGATAAACTATAACAACGATGTTGGTCTAAGGTCTAAGTGTCGGTGCCTAATATTAACAAAAACATTGGAAGTGAAATGTATCAGTACAGGCCTTCTATATTAAAAACACACTATTCTTCCCCCTTTTAATGAGCCAATATTACTTAAAACATTACTAACACAAATAATATAATATTATTACACAATACAATAAATAAATAATTATTTCTAAATTCGTGAATTAACGAATTACATCACAACTTTTATTAATCATCAATATGGTGAGTACTATGAATAAAGTGGTCTTTTCAAATATTTTACCAACCTACAGTGGTCCCTGTGAATAAAGATTACTTTTCCTTCCCGGGAAAGAGATTAAGAAATTTCCAAGTTCCTAGTGCAGTAACGTATAAAATAAAAATAATTAAATACACATGCTACTATCATGTGTTGTGGAATGTTTGACGTTTTATATACTGTATTACAACGGTGGATGTTTGCGGCGCAAAATATATTTATGAAGTTAAATACATAGAGAGAAGCGGATCCAGCAAAATCCTAACGCAATTGAATTCCGATAGTACTGTCTACAAAGCGAATACGCAGTAATGGTAAAAGTACGAATTGTAAGAATTTACTAAAATTATTGTAAATGAAAGGCATTAAAGCGTGTCTGGTTCGAGTTGAATAAGGTACTGAATATAAGATCTCAAGAGTCTCGGCCACTCACCATAGAGGCCAGCTGGTATTGCAAATATGTGTCCTAATAAAAATATAAACCATTTTATACTTGGTGAATTATAACAATAGAATTAAAAGATTAAGTGACCTGTTATATTGCCTGTATTTACGCGAGAGAAAACATAAAATAGATATTTAAAACGAGTTGAAACGCTTATATTTGAGTTAATACGGTTACAAAGTCAAAGTGAGACGTTAAGTCGTTGTTGAAAACAATAGTATCCAATCGAATGTTGATTTATAGCCGAAATGCGACGGATAAATAGCGCCACAGCTTATATGATACCTGTTTCTTCTGTTTGTTGTTGAAAGGGGTCATCTATAAAGTACGCCAGACAAAAAGGGGGAGGGGCCCAAAAGGGTGGAAAGGGGGGGGGGGGCCCCAAAATCTTTTAAAAAACAAATTTAAAAAAAAAATTTTTTGGGGATAAAACCCCCGGTTTTTTAAAAAAAAAAAAAAAAAAAAAAAATCCCCCCCCCCTTTTTTTTAAAAAAAAACCTCCTTTTTTTTTTTCCCCCCCCCCCCCCCCCAAAAAAAAAAAAAAAAACAAAAAAAAAAAAAACCCCGCCCCCCTTTTTTTTTTTTTTTTTTTTTTTTTTTGAAAAAAAAAAAAAAAAAACACCAAAAAAAGAAGGGGGGGGGAAAAACCCCCCCCCCCCCCCCCGGGGGGGGGGGGGGACACCCCAAAAAAAAAAATGGTTTTTTTTTTTTTTTTCCCCCCCAAACAGGTATTAAAAAAGAAAAGCAATATGTTCCAAAAAGTATAATTGCAATAATGACAGTCACCATTTCTGTTCTCTCAAATTACGATGGTTTTTAGACTTTTGGCTTTACCTAATATTTTTTTTCCAAAACCAAGCTTCATCTGGTCTCTTAAATTCATTAACCTTTATAATACTCGCATTCCAACTCGTTACAGTTTGTGTTATTTTATATATAAGATTTAATACCTACTGCGAAAACGTGTGCCTTACTAATATATAAAATATTCCAGGTTAATTGAAGTCATGTGTATGACTGTGTGGGGGTATGTAAAATGTGACGTACCCTGGTGACGGCCTGCAGGAACGCTTGATGACCGAGATTTTGCCGCTGCCGTGTTATAGCTTGTTCGAGCCGTCGCTTATCTAGCTCAATACGGCGTCGTTTTTCCTCCAGCTTTAGTCGAATATTGTTAAGCTGTGCGGCCATCGCTCCTCCTGTACCACTCGCACCCACACCTAACCCGTCACCGTCCCCCAATAAATCTTCACCATCTGCAATGATATTGTACAATACTATACCTAATTATCCGCGTTTTAATTATGAGCCTTTTTGTTATTATACACAATTTGAGTACAAGCTGCTTTCAAATTATTTGGAAATATATTTGTTCAGATTAAATACTGTCTATAGTTTACGCGAGTAGTACACATTTAAATAAAACACTTTAACGGTTTAAAACGCGATATATTAGTTAAAATTATTAGAAAATGATTTTTAAACTACGGCCCGACGTTTCCGATGCGTTGCAGCAGCCGTGGTCACGGGGAGTCTCAAGTTAAAAATAATTTTCAAATAAGATTAACTAATTTATCGCGTTTTAAACCGTTAGTGTTTTATTTAAATTTATTCAGATTATTAGAAGAGAGCTGTGGTTGTGAATTCCAGTCCCGTCAGGTTACATTTTTTTTGATAGAGGAGGACAGACAATGGGGTTACAAAAATACTCCAGCCATATAACATCTAAAGATGTGCTTGTGTTGTCGATGTTTTGACTTTGGATATTGGGACATCCAGACTGAACGCGTAAATCTTCACGGCTTTTTCATCTGTTATCAGTGGTTCGTAAACCAGACGGAATTTCAATTTGATTCGTACCACCATTACACCAACAATTGTTTTTTAATCTCAATCGATTTGTAATTAACATGTTGTGCACAATATTTTTTTTATCAGAAACATAACTCCCGCGACCCACATTAACTTTGATAAGAACAAATATTATATTTCTCTTACTGGAGTGAGAATTATTGTCTTGCTGCTGGAACTGTTGCTGCCAGGTGGTGGTATTGGGCGGCGGGGTCAGGAACGACGTGCTTTTTCGTCTCTCTTTGTCCTCTCTGTTATTACTTGAATACTGACCTGATAATTAAAAAATAATTGTTGCAATAACCAGACTCGTAGGATATTTACTGGTTATTTTATACTTTATTTAAAAACGGGCTAGTATTTCACGAAAACGTAAAAAACAATTTTTTTGTAAAATTTTGTAAAAAAAAAATTAATAAGCACGAAATGCACTTGCTCTTATTGTTTCTAGAAAAATGAACATCAAAAGCAGCAAAGAAAGAGAAGAGAAAGCCAATAACGAAGGCGGACAGTACGTGTAAAGCATTCTCAAGAAGATAATTTGAGACTATGTGGTCACAGGTCTTTGATCGATCTTCATTCAAACGTAAATATTACGTCGCACTATTGCCTCCCAAATATTGGCGTGGACAAAATTATACTTCATTAAATTTACGGATTGCTAAATTATACTGGCCAGGTGCGAGTCGGACCTGCGCCATATTTTTCACCTATTACTTATAAATACAGCAAAAAAGCATTGCTGTTGATTTGGCGCCCGCATTTATATTTTTACATTTTGTTGTGATTATAGCTGCAACAGAAATTACATCATTCGTAAATATAATCAAACTATCACGATTCATGATACGAAAAGAGTATCTTAGCTGACGGACTATTACTACAGACCCCGAAAAGCCTTTGTATCCAGGTGTATCATACCTTTCTGATCACCATTAGAGTTAATCCTGTTGAGTAGTGCAAAGCTAGTGACGTGCTGCTCCCCGTCGGGTAGGTCCCGGTCGTCTAGGTAAAATCCGTCCCCCCCACCCGCGTTGGACAGCGCAATAGCATCACTGCTGAGCTGTCGCCGCAGTGGGGACGGTTCGGTCTGTTCGGGTCGAACTGGTTTTTCGAAACGGGTATCTTCACCGTTGTAATCGTCGTGTAGAAATTGAATGGAACCGCGGATGTCTTGTCTCGATGACCTGAGCGGCGGATTGTGAAGTAAGTTACCTGTAAAATAAGACAAGGATTACTTGTAACTTATGACAGTCAAATAAGTTTTATTAATGAAATAGTTGATAACAAGAAATTAATTCCATTCCTATAGGAATTTTCATTTATTTATCTTTACACGTCCTTAATTTGACTTAATCTAAATTAGAGGCAAAAAACAAACTTTAAACCTTTTGAAAGCATAATATGTGTAAATGGGTTCAAGATAACCCTTTTAATGGTTTAAAACGCGAAATATATTAGAGCTATGAGCTAAATATGGAGGGAAACTCCTCGCATCAGCTGTTTTGTTGTAGTTGATATTTAGAGAAACTAGCTATATACGCTTTTTTTTTCAAATATACATACTATTGTACTGTTTATGTTCAGTCATGTTTTCTACTGTCGCGAGCTCCTTTTGTGGGTTCCTTTGCGCGAAATGGTTGGCGCCGGCAGAACCCCCAAAGTTTTCAACAGTCAGTTGGCTGTCATCTGTTATCGAAGAGCGACGAGATCTTCGTCCAGCAAAACTGCCTTCGCGGCTGGAGCCCCATTTGGACGGTCGACCGGCTGCCACTTGCTGTTCGTTAACTGAAATGTATACAATCCATAGTAATATTTTGAAGGGTCATACATAGATAGAAATGCGATAACTTGATATGATTAAGGCAACCTTTATAATTAATAAAACGGGACTACACTTTTATACACCTGTCAGTCGCAGTTACTTTTTATCATAAATAAGAAAATACTCAATATTTAAAAACCTGTTACCGTAAAGAAACTTTTTTTGTCACTTTTAACGTCAAGCATAAAAAAAAACATAGCAGGAGAATTTCAGAAGCCACTTAAGTCGCGTATACGTAAAACTATATGTATTAATACAATTTTTTAAATGAAAAAAAAAAAAGTGTTATATTTTGGTTTATGTACTGTTCTACATCAAATGTCCAACGTGGGGCAACACTGAGCCACTTCCAGGTACAACAAAAGCTGTGCCCAAAGCCCTCCACATACATCTATTTCATTAAAATTATTTTCGTATTTTCATGTTATTCTTTGTAATATATAACTAGCGTGTGGAATAAATGAATTAATTTGATTTGATAAAAATTGTATCATACCGTTTTCGTCGTGCAGATCCCTGCGTAGCATCGCGGACAGAGTGGTAATGGCTTTCCCTCGATGCACCACAAACTCATCTCGTTGCGGACTGCCGCCTCGCTCGCTCCTCTCTGGCGTCGAACATTGGGACCGTCCACTCATCCCCATTCCCGTTATTGTTCCTGCACTGCTAGCGGTACCTGCACGGGACCGTATACTACACGATGATGGCGAACGGGGTACTGCACATACAAACAAACAAACATGAACAATAAACTCTTTCTACCCTCGTAATACAGATGTTAATTCACACTCAAATTAAACAAAATATGGCAAATAAATAACAAATATATACTACGTTAATTTAAAATTTAGTTAAGGCAAGTTATAGATAAATGCATTATTTGGGTGTTGAGATCATAACACCAATGACTCCATGCCTCATAGTGCAAACCTGTGAGGTGACATTAGCAAGCAGAATACATGCAAAGCAGTAAGTACCCTTGATATACATAAACATATTATATATAAAGCGATATAATATATAAATACCAGTATATTTAAACAGGAGTAAAATGTAACCTAAATCAATACGATGAAAGAAATTTTTCGGCTTATTTCAAAATTTATAGTAATTGAATGTGGTAATTTTACACTGCATACATTTTATTCCTATTGAACGTGACAAACAAACGCACACATGAACAAATACAATAGAGCACACGAAAACACAAACAAAATGGGGAGCAAAACATTCGTTGTTGTTTATTGTGTCGTATTGATGTAAGAAATGTGTACTTAAAATGACAAGTGTATAGTGATTTTTCGTTCTTACTTGGCAAAAGACCACAACAAATATGTCTGATTTTAAACCATAGAGAACAAGTGAAGGCCTTGAATAAATGAATAAAGAAATATCGATTATATATGGACAAACAACCTCAATATTCAAAACTACTTATAAGACGAACTTTTACATTGTTTTAGGTCATCGTTAATTTACTCGATGTTTATCTCGAAGAAAGAAATTTCAATTTCATCATTTTAATTTGTTATTAAATTATAGCATGGAATTGTGTTTTTTTTACTAAGTGAATTAAGGTTGTTCACTAGTTCAATGTATAATCCAGTGTCTCAAAGTGCTGTTAAGGTAAATCAATTAAGTAAACCTTATGAGAAAATCACGTAAACTGTAAACTGTATGTTTACCAAAAATGCCAAGTAAGAAAAAATACACTATAGTGTTTGGCTTATATTATCAGTATCTATTGATGCAGGGAAGTGTGTCATTGCCTCCTTGTACCTGAAAAGGGCTGGTCGTGGTGCGAATGTCCGCGCTGGGGTTCAGCGCGCAGATGCGGGATCGGTGTCGGTTCCGGCGGCGGCAGATGGCGCTTATGTCGCACACCCCACGCATTGCTGTCCGCACCTGATGCAGCTGCACCAAGACGCCACGCTCACACAACACGTAGCAACCGACACGACAAGATCAACGCAAAGCGTCGCTACCACAACTTTGTTTGCTTAAGTTTCATTGGTCAGATTATACCCGCTTTATTACGTATTACGCGCGCTTTTCCTCTTTATCCCCGGATAGTCCTGTATTTTTTGGGCCTAATTTTTAACTTTCTACGCTGTTCACGAAATGAAAATATACTGCCTTTCACCATCAGGCTTTGAATGTATGGAGTATGTAATTATTAAATTAAAGTTACAATGTGAGATAGAGAAAATATACAAGCTAAACAAATAACTATGCAATGAATCGACCTACAACATTGCATGTTCCTATGCGAAGAGTTTATGTATTGACGCGTTAATCTCAATAAAAATAATATAATTAGTAGCGGAGCTTGACATTATGACCACATACTCCCAACAGCGCATGCGAAAGTGGACTTGAAGCGTTCAGTAACAAGCACCGGATTCGAAACAATAACACATCGACCCATATAACTTGCAAGCAATGCATCGCATTTAGTCGTTTCGAATCGAGTATCTTATCTATATATACGTCGTAAGTCTAGCATAGGTTCGGTATATAGAATACAGTACACTATATAACAGAGTTACTACACTTTGTCTAATATAGGATGGATAAGTTCGACTATTTAGAGCATATAATTTTATATTTAGTTTAGTTCTTTAATTATGCGAATGCGCAGTTAACTACTCTACGATTTTTTTATTTAATATCAACCAGAACCCATAGTTCTGGTTTTCTTACTAAATCGGGCAAACTAAATATTTTATAATAGATATGAACTGTAACTTTTCATCCTATATAAGACAAAGTATAAAAGCATGCTCGTGTTATAGAGTTAGTATTCAGTTATAAAATGTACTGTTTAGTGAAGGAGATAGCGAATAAGTGCTAACTGACCGTGTGCCCGTTGTACGGCGTGTACGGGATGCACTTCAAGCATATTAAACAGATCCGCCAGCAGCGCGACTAGGTTTTGCCGCATCGATCTATAAAAAATAACAGTACACATTGAAAAATATGAAAGAAGCTCTATTACGACAGAATGGGACATATTTTCTGTACAATAATATTTCTGCCTAAGTAACTCTGACTTTCGAGTGAAAAGTATGCCTAAACAAAAGTCAGAATATTGTCCATCTTTTGGCTGTAAATGAGGGACAAACAAACAACTTTTGCGTATTAGATAATACTTCCTTCGGTGCTTTGCTTGTGTTATTATATTGCAAGCGAAGATAATAAAACCTGAAACATTTGCAAATCACGAAAATCGTTTAAGCCTTGATTTAATATTAATATGGATAACCTACCCTCGCATATATGTCACGTCTTCGGGCAGCATGTGGAAGCAGTTGTGCGGAAGGTTAGAACGGCAGAACTCATACACAAGTAGAAGGTTGTTCAGGCAGTCTTGTATAGAGGCAAGGCGGCCCACGCGCACAGCCCCACGCGGTAATGCGTCTGGGCAATACCACGACACTAGCGCCGCCAACGCCGTCCCTTCGCACACGTCTTGTATACTACGCACTGGCATCACCTCGCCGTTACCCTTCTCCTGTAATTGTATTACGGGGTTTATGAAAACTTAAATATTTTTCACAAGTTATTGCTCATGATGGCATTAGGTATATGAATTAAAAATCATGGTACTAGAACCGGTATCTACAGCGTTGCGTGCCGGTGCTCTAACCAGCAACCAGCTCTGAGTAGCTTAATTGGTGCACCAACATGGAGGGCATGTAGATGTGTATGCGGGTTCATGTCCCACCCTTCTCGTAATTTTTAAATTGAATATTTACTATTTTATATTTTTTTGTTTTTTATAGTTTATCAAATTGTTTGTTTGTTTGTTTGTTGGATACACACAACTGAGTAGTACAATTAGTAAGAAGCCGTTTCTTGATGTCGTTAGTAGAAACTATAACTCTAATCTTTTCAACGTGTGCCAACAGATATAGCAGATAAAATCATACCTCCGCCCTGTTGAAAGCCGCTGTCGCTGCATTGATCCAACACAGAAGGCCTTCCTCGTGAGTGTACATTGGGCCGGTGGGGGTAAAAGTAGATGAACCGAATCTCTGCGCGGCCGCAGCCACTCTATCTGCTGTCACTACTTCCCGTGCATACACTATCATTATCGCCTCAATTACTGCCAAGTGAGCGCTCTGAAATCAAAAAACTACCTTACACCATGTGTTCTCATGTAAGAACCATTAAATACTATTCTTAACCCTTTCACGCTCAAGGGAAATATTTATCCCTTCGACAACAATCGCTATCGATTATTCAATTGATTTTTTTTATAAATGTCAAAAAAAAAACGTATAAATGTTAGGTTTTTTAGTCTCTTACTTTAAACTCAAAATAGTCAAAGTCTCAGCCATCTTATGGACCTGTAAGGGTTAAACTATACTTGACATGTGCCTAAAAAACGTTTGTCAGTTGTTTTTCAATCATTATCATTACGCTTAACAGATGGAATTCAATTCATTGTTTTCATGTTTTATAAATATTTATACGGACATCGGACGTTGTTTTAACTGCGACGGACAACGCGCATCGCAACCGTCTCAAATTATGAGTCATTATTTTCAGAAACGGATATTGTATAGGTATTTTTACATAATGGCTCTCTTATAATCGTTGTCAAAATACTACATTCATACATTTGTCAATCATAATATTATATTTCAAGGACAAAACATTTGGTTCTGAATGACAGTAACGTTTTTTTGGCTTCTGAATTCAGGGTTACAAAGTACTTCTTTGTCGTTGTAAAGGTACATATTTCGGATACGCTGAAAATCGATAGCACAGGCTGGCCTCGTATTCATAACAGTTGTTCTGCCAATTGGGCCTTCTTGTCGTCGTTACCATAGAGGATTTGTGCCACTGATTTTCCATTTATAATTTATATCCCATACAAGCTGCGCCCGCGACTTCGTCCGCGTTGAATAGTGACTTGGGGTAGAATTTTTAATTATTGAGGCTGTTTATTAATTTATGTAAGGGTGTATTTAAGGCAGCCAATCTATGGTAAGTGCTACTTTGTCGCAACATTCCCACCTCACATCACTCCTACTATAACTCCCACGCTCATTCCTACACCCACTCACACCCCACTCCTATTCCAAAAAAGCCAAAGAAGAAAATTTCATTATTATAGCTTCAAAAACCACGAATTTCCATACAAACTTTCATGCCCTTTTTCAACCCCTATCAACGCTTTTTTTGGCATTAAAAAGTTCTTAGAGAAGTTACTTTCTCATTTATAATATGTAGTATTAATATTTTATATATTTACAGGTCGACAACGGATCTTGTCATGATGTTCTATAAGGCTATTCACCTACCGTAATAAATGAAGACCACGCTTGTCTTCTTATAAAAAAAAATGTGCTGTGCTTGTTCACACTTGTGTTCACAAATACTTACAATTTTAAGTGGATTATTCTGTATTAGCACGGTCTCAGTAAGTGCGGAGTCAGAAGGCGTGTGTAGAGGCACTCCCTTGCGCGCCAGGCTTTGGAGTATGTTGGTATGGTTGAGGCTGTGGTAGCTGGGGTCTGAGTACATGTTGGCTAAGGCGAGGCAGTATAGTTCGGCACTCGCTAACCCCCCCACTATCGCCGGCTTCAAGTGCTCCTGCTCCTGTAATGAAAATTCAGTTAATTAGAAAAAGCCTGACAAGACATCCAATTTATAATTTATTAAAATAATTCTATAAAAAAGTTATTTATAAATAATTATAATTACACTAGCCCACCCACGACGTCGGTTCCATCGTTCGTGCGAGTTATTCTTGAAAGATAGACATATAGTGTCGTAAACATTATTTTAGATCGATAGATTGGGTATCTTGACCGCTATCGCAACGTACGCAACGGAAGGCGTTGAACACACAATAATAATAATTTTCTCCGTTTTTTTCACAGGCGATGTTTTATAGTCTTTGCTCTAGCATCCAAAAAGGAATTTTTCAATTCGAGCCAGTAGTTTCTGACATTAGCGCGTTCAAACAAACTCTTCAGCCTTATATATGAGTATAGAGTATAGATATAAAGTATGTTTTACGTGAATATGTCTTATTAGGTGATGGATCACTAAAGATGCCCCTACTGTTACACATTTATTATCCATACTAAGAAGTGAATAAATTATTAATTTAAAACATATTTATTTAGTTTTAACGCAATTTTTCTAAAACCTATAATTATAGTCTACCTAAATAAACAATTTCTACGCAGGGTGCGACTTCATGATGTATTTACTTGCGTGTCGCTTTTAGTGCTTGTTAAAGGCGTGGTCCTTATGACGTCATATTTTAATTTTCACAATGATCATGTGCAGTAATAATAAATAATCCGTCAAGTACGTATTTCAATGGCATAGTGAACAATTATAAACAATAGAAAGAAATAACAAAGTCTTTAAAATTAGCCTAGACCTAAAGACTAGGAGAAGAATTAGGACTATTCTGCCGCTACCTGTTCAACATCTTTACATGAATGAAATGTTTAATGTGACACACTTAGCCGTTTAGTGGGTACATTATGTTAGTATTACGCCATACAATATGAATGTAAATAGAAAACCAGTTAGAAACGGAATACATTACAACAGCAGTCAGCACCTCATTGACCATGGGGCGATACTAGGGAATAGGCGTGTGTTGCGTACTTTAATATTTGCCATTAAATGTGACAAGACCAACCCACACAGTAGTGGTACTCCAGAAAAAGAAAAGACTCATTACTCTATGCGGCAGACATTTTTCTGTTACACTTATAGACAAGTAGCTGGTTTATTTAAATTTAAATAAAACACTTTACGTGGTCACGGGGAGACCAAACGGCTGCTGTAAAGCATCCGAAACGTCGGACCTTACTTAAAATATTTTTCCGAAACGTCGGGCCTTAGTTAAAATTGTTTTTCTTATAAGTTTAAATATTATATATCGCGGTTTAAACCGTTAATGCTTTTTTTTAAAGGTGTACTACTCTCGTAAACTACAGCTTGATTTTTACGCAAAAGATCAATCCGATTTTCCCGGAATTGGAAGTCGCACTTAACTCAATGCAAAGCATATTTTATTTAGCATTTGAGCAACGAAAACGATCAACCAGTCAACCACCAAATGGTTTGAACCATAATGTTCAGTTCTATCTCATAAAACAATACCACAACAAAAAATTAAAATTACGTAGATAATCCCACTTCGCCATTATTTATAACAATTGACATGCTTGGTAAACTTGTGAGGTCATTATTCTCTTTATTTACTTAACGCAACGTTGGTTGTTAATTTTTCAATTAAAAAGGTCGAACCGAAGATTAAACAATAAAAACACAACTGCTAAAAATAGCTACACAGCAATACAGCTCTAAATCGCTCTTTAAATTATGTCATGGATGTCTCCGGTCAAGGAAAGATGGCAGATTATTATAAGGTGTGACACATACTAGAAGTGTATGGACTTCGTATATCTATAATCAGCTCGAGTGTGTCTAGACAATATGGCTAAGCCCAGTAGCCGTACTCTATTAAGATTATGACGATCTAAATCTTTTGCAGAATCAATAGTTCAATGCACTGAAGAACGGGACTTCTAAGTTATATATCAGCATCAAGTACAGTGAATCATTGTGGGCGAAGCCAGTCGGCGCGCGCTGCAGCTTTAATAGTCCAGTGTAAAGATCGAAAAATATATGCACATATAGGCCTGTTTCTTCACTTGAAACATATAGATATAATTGCAAATTAGGAAGCGATCAACATGAGTCATAGTTCTGACTAAATCATGTTCGCAAACCATAATCAGCACGATTACTTTTAAGGCATCTCCTCTTGCCTTCAATGTATATAGTTCATACAAAGGCAAAGTGCAAACAGGAAGCAATTAAATACTGTCTGTAGTTAACGCGAGTATACACATTTAAATATATAATTGCAATATATAAACTTATTTGGCAATTATGTAACTACGGATTCCGACGTCTCGGATATTTTATAGCGGTCGTGGTCACGGAAAGGGTTCAAAATATATATCGCGTATTAAACTGTTACAGTGTTTTATTTCAGTAGGAAGCAATAGACAAATGGACATTAGATTTTTTTTATATTGGGAAATAACTTTTTTCTTACTTTCTCAACAAAGTAAGTAGAAGGTCCCTAATTTACGAGGTGTCAAGTACGAGGTACAAAACATTTTTCACTTCATGCGCTGCCTACTTACATATTTTGACGACTATTCTACTAAAGTATATATATCGCTATTACTGAAATGTTTACATAAAGTTCAAATAATACAAGCACAGCATTAATTATAACAATATAATATAGTGGAAAGTGGTGACAACGCCGAAATCTTAAGAGTTCGGGTTACCAGAATAAGCACTGGATGCGAAGGGAGGTCGCGTGCCAGCACACGCTCGCTGCTGGCTCATGTAAATCCGGTCGATAACATGATACCGTTACGATTCCAACAACAGCCTTGCGAACATACCTTTTAAGGACCAGGCATGAATAACAATGGTATAGGATACACAGCACCATCCGAACTCTTATCTGTCTTCTTCGTCATGCACTGCATGGAGTATCATTAGTCACTCTTTTCTACACCATACAAGACTAAACTACTAGTAATTTTAAATTAAAGTCGTGATTGTTAAATGTGCTTTCATAAAATATGTTTTCTCACCTCATGATCCCTGTAGAACGGCTCCAGAAGGTTTTCCGGTACTCTATTGTTGAACGCTTTCGAGAGCAGCCATTTGATCGAAGCCCGCTGCTTCGACTGCAAACAAAAAGAAGGAAACTTAACGAGTTTTCTACGGCCATATATATTTTACATTATAAATCAGTTGCTTGGCCATAATCTTCATTATATTTACATACATTTATTTAATAACTTACTTAGTTATATAATTGTGTTATTTTTCTTTTAACGATAGTAAGGAACAATAATACCTTACAGTATATTTAGAATTCTATAAAATTGATTTATATTATAAATAACTACAACTAGTTGGCTTAAGTACTGCCTTATGTAAGTTTATAGCATGAAAATCTACTAATGTTTGTTGAATTCTATAATAAGAAATTCTTCTCTTATCATAGAATCACTTTATCTATCGTAGAAATGATATTAAGATGACTGGGTCTGATGTCATGTAATACATATAAGGTAAAAATGATGTTAACTTAAAAATAAGTAAAAATAAATATATTTAAGTTTGTCCGGTAGCTATCGGTAAAAATAACCTTGTAAATATATATAAATTTAGGAGAAACGTTTCCGAGGTCAATTTTAATTGGTTTGAGAAATTAATCTAGCATAGTGGCACGAGTGCTCACTAATCGGTAAGCGGTAACGCACACGATCTGTATGCGGTGACAGAACGATCAAAAAGAACTAAATCCCATCGTTATCGTCAAACTTTGTTTAGGCGCTATCTTTTCACACAATATTCGCCAAACACGTCCCGACCACGCCTTATTAACTTTGTAGCGCGTTCGAAGCCCGCACCGTGGCTTATAGGGCTAGTTTTTATTACAAATAATACACAACCACATATTATAAGGCTTCAAATGCTTGAACCGAGCACGCAATCGTTGTATAAATCAGTGTGATTGTTGTAACTTTTATTTCGACTAGCTGTGCCAGCGACTTCGTCCGCGACTTGTTATTTTGGGGCATCAAACTTGACATATTTGATAGATATTTTTGGCTATCTTAAACCGTTTTTTGCAGCACACGCAATGAAAATAAAATGAAAGCACATCTCCCACCCTTTCTTCATTCCTATTGGTCACAGCGTGATGTTTTATAGCTTAAAGTCATCCTCGTAAAGACTCTTACAAACAAAAAAAAAATTTCTCAATCGAATTAGTAGTTCCTGAGATTAACGCGTTCAAACAAACAAACATTACATATTAGTGAAGATTATTGTGCGTTTAAACTCTATACTCACGATCTAAAGTAAAACTCGATGTCGTAGGAAGTCATTACCGGCCGTATCATATGTTAGGGCGAAGAAGAAAGCAAAAAAGGTCGGACGCGTGCCTACTGAGAGCGAGACATGCCAGTTAAAAATAGGTCATTGCAGAGACACTCCCAAATAGGAAACCACTCGACGCTTTCCATCAAACGAACGTCATAAAGTCAAGACGTAAACACTTCTTGTGTTATACCAGTTTAAACCGATCTTATCATGCTTGTTGATCTTAAAAACGATATTGGGGCATCAAATTCACAACTATACTTAACGACTTAACGAAAGTTGCGTAGACCGACAATGTTTTAAATTTCAGATCAAACTTAAATCGCGTTTCGACAGAAATACTATTCAAAAAAGTTAATCGTATACATAGTAACACTTCTGTTAATAAAATATATAAGTAATTTGCAATATAGAAATATTAAAAGAAAATTAGATTTTCGCCGTCGAGTGTCGGTTTCAGTCTGTTGATTTCCGAATATACAAAGCCAAAGTAGTTCGACAGCGCATTTTGTTTAGATGTTATGGCTGGAGTATTTCACCTGCCATCGAGTGATTATCTCTCTGTATCATAACAAAATAGTATCAACTTGAGTAACTCCATCGCTCTTGAACAAGTCCATGAATCTACGAGGTGGGATTCATAAATTTGTAAATCATGATTTAAGATGCTGAACAAGAAATAAGATCATTACATTCAAACACGATAGGTATCTTCTCTCATTTTGTTTGACAAGCGTCAGACGTAGACAGTTTTATCACAAAATTATTTTTAGGATATAATCACATTTTTCTAATTACTTTCAAAACTATGATATTTAGGAAGTAGAGCGGGCAGAACACTCTCACCGACATGTAATTAATCGCAAGTTAATTAGGCGAGTTTTGCGTTTCTATAATGTCTCGGAAATAAGTATGTCTCAAGTGTGTAACTTGTATTTTGTCTTTTTTATAAACAGGGACGTGAAGCTGGGACCTATATACATATATAGAAATATTAGGCCTCTAGAGCCACAGTAGCCTAAGTGCAATTTTTATAACTTGAGTAATTCATATTTTCTATAGTCTAAAAATGTTAATCTACAATAATTCTTACACAAATAATAGTGCAAATTCATTTTTGAGTAAGTGAATTGCGCATTTTAATTTCCTCATAAAATCATGGTTTTTGTTATTAGGCCACTCTGGTTCTAGCAGCCTCGTATAAAGTAAATTACTCTATTCAGGTTTACATTACACTCTACTAAGGACACATTGTGTTTCCTTTGCGACTGCTATCTTTATTCACGCATCAGGTGTTTATACAATAAGTGGTTACTGGACCTATAAGACAATATGAGAAATGTGGACACAACGGTAAAAGGTAATCGCACCCCATTCGTGTCAGGTAACAGCTGGACATTACCAGTTACTGTAATTGTTGATCTATTTTAAACTGACATTAAAGGTTAAAATCATTTTTTCTGAGTTCTTCAAGTATAAGTTAATGTAAGTTTATATAACAGCTGGTCAAAAGCTATTCGGCACTTCGCAACTTAGTCCCACGCCGCGCCCACGTAAGTTCCACCTCCACATTTCACATGTTCGATAGCTATCACTACTTAATTGTTAATATGGACAATTTATTGATGCTGGTGCCCGGTATAGTTAATTTAGGCATTATATTAATTATGTAAAATTCCTTATATATGTATATAAATAATAGCCGTGACCCACGACGTCACACATGTCTCGTCGTCCTAGGCTGTCGTCAATCCTAAAAGATTCTCTCGCGAGAAAATTTAGATAACTTAAAGAAGAATAATTCTTTTATACACATTTTTCGGTATCTTAAGCCGTTATCGCAGCGCTCGCAACGGAATCCCCCAAAGATCAATGGATCATTTTTTTCCGTTTTTTTCGCATGTGGTCGCAGTTTGATGTTGTATAACCAATCATTTTTTTTTGTATTGGTGGGAATTCGAACCAGTTCCTAAGATTACGCAAACAAACCCTTCAGATTTATATTAGTATAGACTACAATACAATAGACTATGGCTATATGCTCTTAGTTACTTTTGTTCTTGGTACGGTTTCAAAAGTTTCTCTAATAAGAACAAAAATTTCAAGCATTTGAAGAAAACGTGCTGTGGACAAATACGGAATGCGAACTTGTCCAAGCGCTTCTTGCGCCGCGACGCATTGTGTCCGTATCTACATTATGTATTGAGTGGGCCAGATATGGAATCACCTTGCAGGCCTCGTGCTCTTGACCATCGGAATCCGCGTTAATCCACACGACTAAGTTGTGCCCCGTTATGGATATGTAGGAAACTAACACACTTCCACCATTTACAACAAATAACATTGAAGTAAAATAGTGTTAATTCGCTTCACCATAATCTATACTAATATTATATGTTTGTTTGTTTGAACGCGCTAATCTCAAGACCTACTGTATCGAATTGAATTCTTTCTGTGTGGTTAATAAAACACCACGCTGCGACCAATAGAAGCCAAGAAACAGTGGGATATTGTGGGTTTCCGTTGCGTGTGGTGCAAATGCGGTTCAAGATATCCAAAAAATGTGTAGGATATAATGATGTCTCTTTAAATGATCAAAAATGTCCACGACATCTATAATCTTTAGGATTAACTTGCAAAAACGCCAGGACGATGTGGTGGGTAACGTTGTGGGGTTTATTCGGTTTTTTGTGCGGGGGGGGGGGGCTTTTTTTAAAAATGGGGGTTGGGGGGGGGGTTTTTTTGGTTTTTTTTTTTTGGGGGGGTTTTTTTTGTGGGGGGGGTTTTGGGGGGGGGGGGGGGGGGGGGCCCCGGGGGCGGGGGGGGCCCCCGAAGGGAGTGTAAAATATACTTCAAAAGTGTAAAATACATATACTAAAATTAAAATTTAAACTGGTTTTTTCCCGGGGGGGGGGGGCCCCCCCCCCCCCCCCCCCCCCTTTTTTTTTTTTTTTTTTTTTTTTTTACATGTAGTGTTAGTATATCCATGCGTGGATTTGCCATTGAATATAATATCAACATAGACGATTCGATGAAGTCATAATGACCCACTTATATGTAAATACCAAGCCTACACGACTTCAAATGTTTGTTACTATGTTCATGCTATTTTTAACGAAACTATCAACTTCGAATCATAATACATATCGACAGATGTATGAAAATGAGAGTGTCTGCATATTGAACAATGAGAAAAACTTGATATATACTTATACGACGTCGCAATTTCCATATCTTATCTGATAGCATTCCACTTTCTGGCACTTTCTCGTTTATAGCGGGGCACCGTCTCACATAATAATTCATCTTAGTTCGTATCGGTGGTTATACAAAAATCTCTCGGCACGGAGGATTTTAAAACTTTGTATATTACTAAACTAAATGCAATTAATACTACATATATATAGCTATCATACAGACACTCAAAATAGTCTATGATTACATAATGGACTATAATACGACACGATACAGTACGGCTTTTAGTAATCACTAATTACACTAGCATCGTAAGGTAATGAGACGGAACACTAATACAAGTAAGCCGTATTATGTGTCACGATACTTTTTTCTGTGTACTAAACAAATTCTTATATGAAATAAACAAAACTACCTATAGTTAGGGACAGTTTTGAGTAAAAATATGATAAAGCGCATTTGTATTGTATTACTTAGTGGTTTGAAACTGAGTAACGGCCTTTGGTTCTTAGTTTGGAATCTTATATTTACAACGTCCGGAACATTATTTTGGGTTGATTTATTAAAAATGGCTAAATCGATTTGGATGAAGCATTTACTAGTTGATGGCACTTTGATATTTCGTAAACTTCTGATAAAACGGGGCGCAGTGGCAAAAATACTACAATGCAACAATATATTGAAAAAGGTCTGTATAAATCGCAGTTCTTGTCTATTCGGAAATATATTATGACATGTGGTGAAGCGAAAAAATAGCATTGACCCTCACTATTAAGTAGGCATAAGATTACACAAACTTATTTACTCATATTAAATCCAGCAAGGACAGTCGGTGTTTAACGAATTAATCACAAGGTACGTTTTAGTTTTTATAAAGTCTTGGCGGTATTACAGGCAATAACTGATATACATATTTTACTATTTTGTTTAATAATTATGCTCAAATCGTAAAGTAATTTCTAAAAAGTGTAATTCAGAAGTTGAAAGCTAACAGACTTTCATTTGCAATATTCAAACTTCATGGTGATTATAAATAAATTAAAGTAAAAATTGGTTTAGATCGTTTACAGTTAGATATTAATTGAACTGGATAATTTCTACCGCGTCGCGCGTCGCAATCGCTATTATTCATTATTGTGATTATAGCCGAATAAAATTCAAAACATAAATTATTATATTACTTCTTGTTAATACTATTACAATTATGCATATAACTATTTATTATGCACAGTACGTATTCGATAATATTTTAATAACTTGAAAATTCTGAAAATACTAGATTGTTGTTCACGAGAAGTTTTTTTTTAGTTTGAGAATATACTATAAATGTTTTCACAACAAAACTATAACCTCTTCTGTATCGGATGTTCCAGGCTTTTCAACATAAATTAATTTTGTCGCTAAATACAACCAAAGCGATGAAAAGTTGAGGTCAATAAAGGCAAGATTTATCTCAACATGCATAGCCTGCCTACGACAACCTAATACAGAAAAGGCTTTGTTAATCGTGTAGTAATAAAAAAATACATTTATATTATTAAAAAAACCTAATAAATCTATACGTAGGTACTTTGAATGCGCGCAATAGTTTGGATATTGAATTTTATATATTTTTATATCAAAGTTTTCAATGCTGGGATAATTTATTGAATTTTACTAATATTATCAAGATAAAAGTTGGTTAATAATAACTACTGAATGATCGTAATGTCATTTTAAATATGACTAAAGCAAGTGTCTAATGCATAGGTGTAATAAATTAGAAACAGCAAGATTTGATACAAATTTTCTTTGTTACAACAGTTATTTATAACCGAGCAACACATGACAACGATCATAAACATTTAAACTGTTTAATTCATTCTAAAGCAATCAGATCGTAGCGCACTTAATACCTGATTGGTATTCCTTAGACACGGAAATTTGCATTAAAGACCTTCGTTTTGTCCTTTACTTGGTTTCAACTTCCATCTAAACACGTTATCATAAAAAGTCGTACAGTTTTATTTCATTATAAGTCTTGCAGTTAGACGTATTGTATAAGATCTTTTAATAGGTAAAAATAATATTACTTTTTAGTATAAACATTTTTGAATATGATAGTTATATGAATTAGATAATTTATAATATTAATCAAAGTAAAAAACGTTTTCGTTAAATGTGCTAACGTGCTATCGTGCAGTGTGTATGTCAAAACTACTGTGCTCTGCTCAAATATGGAATCTAAATTTAATTCTTAAGATACAATAGATTGGCCGAAAGCGAAAATGTTATCGAAAGAAAGAGGCTGTTCTTATATAAGTGTGTGAGAACCGAAACTTAAGAACAAAGCTTTCCAACTTTGTCACGACGATCGATCGGACACTAGATTGTTTTATACGAGTTTTGACAAGCTGGAAAAAATAATTCTTCTGTATTATTATATAACAAAAATAAATTAAACGTAAAGATTGAATCGGAATTTTGTATAGTCAAGTGGTTAGTATATGCGGTGTCTTCTGCAGTCACTGATCCGAGAATCGCGATGTTAAGGTCTACTGGTTTAACCTTGGTCGCGACTCAGAGCGCTCCTGCTTATCCCACCCGGGATAACACGCATGACATCATCTCAAAGACTTACACAATCCGATCAAGGCCAAAAATTTACAAAGTAGAAACATATGGTATACGTAAAATAAAATGAGTCGGGTCGTCGACCCCTCATTAGGCGAAATAGTGTTACGATTCTTTTTTTAATGACGAAACTGTCACGACGATTATAACAGACAGGAAAACCGTACCCTAGCGGTTACATTAGTCGTCTTCATTTAGAAAGACTACATCTTCGGTATCTGCATTTCTTTTCATTTGGTTTTTAAGAATGTAAGTAAGCAAAGTATAGGCAAAGAAAGGTTCACAAAGAATATTCGGTCTAGATATTTGTTATGGAAAGTTAGGGGTCGATCGTCGCAGTCGAATCTTACCGAGACAGCCACTGAAGCATTAGGTACTGCTATAGCATTTTCCATTACAGCGCCATCTGGGGCACTCAGAAATCTGCGGAGAGTGCCGAAACCAGAGGCCGAAGTTAACATTGCAACCATTCTGAATAGACACAACACAGGGAGAGATCATGAACACATAACTGGACGTAGCGAGGTATGCGCGTGGCCGACCAGCGCGCCGTGCGCGTGTAAACTGTGAGCGGCGGAAACCCCTCCCGTCACTAAGCCCCCTACTACCATCTCTACCACTACTTAACAAGATTAGCAGACACAGATTACCTCCATGCATTATTGAACATACAGGTATCTTTTGTTCAAAGTCAAAGCCAATATTTCTAACATGAGAATGTTATGAATGGAATTCTTGTTAGAAAATAAATTGAAATCACTTCATGTAAACACAAAAATTTCAAACATTATGATTAGACCTATGGCTTGATTAGAAAGGTGAGGTTAATTCAAATCTCATTAGACTAAGATATTTAGCACAGTATTGGGTAAGAAGAACATATATATGGTTTGTAGGTTGAAGTCTTATAAATATATGGGTATTTCTTTTTGTATCAGTGGTTGATTTTAATATCAAACCTACATGTTCTGTGTACTTCCTGACTGTTAGAATATACAACATTTCCTCAAGTTTCTCACCTTACACTCTAAACTTCGTTAAACCTCAGACATATTTTCCCAATCTAAGGTTCCCATCCTTTATAAGCAAGACTTATTTAAACCAACTATTAGTAATTCAACAGTTACCATAAAAAAAACAGGTACAAAAGTTAAAATATAATGGAGTAAAATTAATACTTTTGATATAAATAAATTAATATATATAATATCCTCTATAATTGAAATATATTGGAAGTTAGTCTGTACTCAACGTTGGTTGTCAAATGTTAATTCAAAGATTTCATTAGTATATCCAAACAAGAGCCTATACATAGAAGACAAATATTTAGAGATTATCAAGATCTTTATTTTTAAGTGAGATATTGGTATAAAATTGTTAATGCAAGTTATTAGTCCCTTACAAATACCAATATTATAACAATGCTCAGTACAATGACATTAATTCATTTGTCATATAAGGAAGACAATGTTCTAACTCCAATATTAATTCATGGACTGATTGTGTGGGCAGCAGTGAGCATACTGTCTCACCCACACTAACCACTTTTTGTATGGATGTCATATAAAATGATGAGATGAATCTATCATGATATGTACTTTGATACAGAAAATTTAGTCACTTGACATGATTGTATATTTTCATAAATTAGGTATGTAATACGCAAGTAAACTAGCCGTTTTATCGTTACCGGCTGATGAAACCTACCTGTTTTGTATCCACAGTATCTGTCGCCTCCATGTTGCCGTAAGTCCGCTCCCGTTTTTCCATGGCTTGGAAAACATGAGAATCATCTAATCCATTTACTAGGAACTATTAGAGCACATAAAACTACCACAACGATAGCAAACGCACATACAGAAATTTTTATCGAAACGATGAATGTCAATGATCTTCACAAACACGTTCAACACTAAAAGGAAATTTATGACAAATGCCTATATAACGACCAGTCTTTTTAATTCACTGTCATAAATAACGGGGAATGCATTTCACTTATATGAACAAATAGGCTGAGCACCAATATTTAGTTTCAATATAATGACTAATAAAACACAGTTGTTCACCATTGTAAAATTTCACATATTCGATGAATGATGAATGTTGAAGGATGAACTGTGATCGGTAACCACAGAAAACTCAAATTATACGGATGGAAGTCTGTACTAATATATATGAGGATTTTAATCTATGTCAACGTGATCTGGAAACCTTTATTCTGTGGTCAGTGAATTATATGAAACGAATCTCGATCATAAAAACGTAAATATATCTGTGGATAAGCTGTATTTTATGAAACGTATATTTACGTTCTAGCTGAACATTAATTTAGTAGTGTTGTAATTAGTAATTAAATAGGTATAAGGCAGTTAAGACCTTTCTTTTTCTAGAAAACAAAACATGATGACATGTAAACGGTGTGACTTTGTTTTAAGTTAACTCTTCATTACCTTAATTTCCAATGCCGCGAGATCGTGGAAAGGCTCGTAATAGAGATAGACGAAGTTCTTCGTATAGCTCGGAGTCTTCACATGAGCGTAAAAAGTCAAGATCGAAACATAAACGGCGCTCGCGATCTAGAGATTCAAGAGAACGGTCGATAACCAGTAGCCATAGAAGAAAGCGCTCTGACTCTAAGTCAAAACTTAAAAGACGAACTTACTCAAGGAGTACTTCGAGGGAGCGTTATGAAAGTAAATCTAGACGCCGATCACATTCGCATTCCCATTCAAAGAGATCCAAATATTCACGTGACCGATCCCGATCAAGAACGAACTCCCATGATCGTAAATACAGTCGAAGTAGCAAAAAGAACAAAAAGTATTCACCATCTAAAAGCAGATCAAATTCCTTTGACATTGGTAATTATTATGTTTGCACAAATAACACTGTTGTATTTCTTTTAAATAATCTGAAAATAAGTATGAATAAGTTTTTTTTATAATTATTTAATAACATGTTTTTTTAGAACCTCGAATACATAAAGGAAACCATGATGATACTGACATAAAGGTGGAAAAAGCAATCAAAGCAGCAGAAGCTGTAGGATTAACTATGACCAAAATACCAACATATGAGTATAAAGAGGTTGCAGTTAAAGAAGATATGCCTACAATACATGATAGGAACCTCTTGAATGAACTGAATAATGACTCCTTTGTGCAGAAGGCATTCACATCATCTCGTAGTAAAAAACAAAATATAGTCATTGATTTAAATGCTGAAACTGTTAAAGTCCCAGAAGCAGAACATAAAGCCAAGAAGGATGATTCCATTATTAATTTTGATGTTAGTACATAGTTTTTATTGTGGTTATTGTTTTGAATTATAAGATCTAACTCTACATTAACACCATATAAGCAGTAAAAATTCTTGTCATTAAAAAACATACAACAATGTAACTCTTCTCTTTATGTTGCAGGAGTTACCAAGTCAAGAAGAATTGAAAGAAATGTGGATCAAAAAATTATATCAATATAGGAGGAAAACATTGAAGGAAGAAATAACATAGTTAGACTCAATATCTTTGAATTTGTGAAAATAAAAAGTGAAAGACCAACCTAAATTATTTTATTATTAACATAACATCAAATAACTGCAACACATTTTTGCAACATCCTTTGAATCTACCTTGATATCTATATATTTACAGCACTGTACTGTGTGAACTTAACACTGAACTATGTAGTAGGGTGTAGGAAAATTTTACATATTGTTTCGTTCCCTTTGAATGCGACTGCTGTACGTTCTAGAAACGAGATTCCAAGCATCCATGTACCTGTCCATACACATTGCTATACACTTCTGCTCCGAGTTATCCAAAGAAGTCCCAGGTTTGTTAATGCATTTTTTGAAACATTTCTCCGACATTTTCGTAAGTAGTTCTTGTGCGTTAGCAATAGCAATTTGCTGTTTAACCTGATCCATTAATTCTTCCTTTTGTGCCCCACTTAATGTTCCGGTAGATAACGAATCCATGGTTTATTTCTTTCTATGGTACTTGCTAAATGACTAAGAAGTAAATTATACAACTATGTATAATTTTGAATAACTATGTTATGGCGTAACAATTAAGTCTACAGTTACAACAGCCTAGGAAAATTAGAACTTTTGCAGTCTAGTTTCTGATATAGCATAACCTCAAATACCAAATTGTATGTTCTTTGAAACTGACACTTCTTAGTCGTCAGTCCAGCGACAAATGTCAATTGCTGTCAGCGATGTTTATTTTTTTTATTTACCTCTCTAACTACAGACTACAAACGGGTTGTCTGGTCGTATGTTATATGTTATGGTAATTTAAAAAATCCCCTGTCTTCATCTTCTTAATTATTACCTGTGTGACTCTTATAGCTCGAAACTTGTGTTTTGCAAATTGTTTACACTTTACTGTTTACACTATACATTAAACAACCATTGAATGGACCAGCCTATAAAATACATTTAATCATAATACCTTTCATAAATCATATTTACAATTTTATTATTGGAGTACTATCTTTTATTAAGTGAATAATTTTTAATCTTTATTTGAATTATTTATTTTACAAAAAATTAAGGTTTTAGCTTAACTTTTTTAAAGTTCTATGTAAATTATGAATGACTTGAAAAATATTGCTGCCACATTGACTCATGATGAACTTATTGAGGTTACGAAATCCTCTCTTTGCACATTAACAAGTTGTGATTCTCTGCTTAATGATTTACCATTGGATATTGTTACCGAAGAAATATTACTATTGGTAGGTTTCGATTGTTAAAGTTTAAAATAAATGTTTTGTATCAATAAAAATACAATATTTTACAGACTGCAGTGGAACATGGAAAATGTATAACTATTTACATATCCCGGGAAAATGAACAGAAGTTGAAAGTGATTGTAAGATATTTTAGATACCTTATTTAAAATTTGACTTTTTTTAATTTTAATACTATCTTTATGATAGAGTTTAAGTAAAGATTTTGTCTATAAATTTTAGGTACCTCAAAATGCTACAGTAAGGGAACTCAAAAAAGCAATACAAAGACATTTTGAGCTTTATCAACGGAGAATAGGCCTCGGAGTAAAAATATCTTGGAAATACATATGGAAAACTTATCAATTGCAATTTGATGGTATTATATTAGATGATGAAAATAGTAGCATTGATAACTATGGAGTGAATAACAAAGTAACTTTGGCATTTAGAAAAAAAAGGAAAAAGAACAAAAAGTTTTAAAGAATTCATTTATTTTATTATTTTTGAGACATAGTGATTTTTGATTACTAAGATATTCAAATATGGCTATGTGATAATAACTTTAACATACACTTATGTAAATAATAGTTAGAAAACACTATAATGTCCTGCCTTTCCTCTTGCATGTGATATGAAGCTAAATATAACTAACACAACTACCACATCAATAAATATCAATAAATAAGAAAATAAAGTATCATATCCATTATAGTGACCAAATTAATAATTTTAACAGATAAAATTTTTATTATTTTTATCTGCTAAATTGTATATGACATACATATTGTGAGTACACTTGCAACATAGTTAATTTTACAAATGTGACATATAAAAACAATATTTTAGATATTCTAGATATATAGATAATAATGTATGCATATGTTAACATTATCAAGGAATATATTACATATATGTAAATATATAGCTTTCTTTAAAGTTGTTCAAAGTCTGGTTGTGGTGGGGGCTCTTGTGGCAAAGGTTCGAAGTCCCCAAGGGTGTAGTGTTGGTCATCATGCCGAGGTGTAGCCAGTGGGCGGTCATATGCTTCTTGTCTCAGTAGCTCTTGATCATGCTAGAAAGGTTTTTACATATTAGTAACAAAAACGTATGTTTTTCATTAATACATAGAATTAATATTGTTAAATTACCTGATCTTGTTGCAATAACGAGGGAGGTGCTAAATCATCCAAAGATAACTGCGTATTGATAACGGATGGGGGAGCATACTCGGATAACGAAGACATGCTATTTTCCGCGCTTTGACCCTGCAATGTGAGATATGGTAAACGTGAAACATCTGCTTCTTATGAACTAGCCTGAAAAAGATTACGCATACTCACTGCGTCATTATTATCTTCGTCAAGTTTAGTGGACTCAGTGGGAGTAGTTTGGTCTTCAGGGGGGGTAGTTTGGACATCAGTGGGGGCAGTTTGGACAGCAAGGGTGGTAGTTTGGACAGCAAGGGTGGTAGTTTGAACTGCAGGAGGTGCAGATTCCGGAGGAATATTGTTTTGCACTATGTTAGCCCGAGCTTCTTCTTCAGATGAGTACGCACTTGTGTGCTGTGTGAGCAACAAATGGGTCAACATATCCGTACCTGCAAAAGAAATGTAAAATCTATACTAATATATAAAACTAAAGCGCAAATCTCAACTACTAGTTGGAATTGAAATTAGTTTGTGATTGTTAGAGCGTTTATTGAGAAACACTACAGGCCATAAGAGATTGCGATGTGATACATAGAAAGATTCAAGATACCAAAAAAATCGGTAAAAAAAATTATTTTTCTTTTAATGCTATATGTCTATATTTTAAAATCTACAAGCAAGAATGATAGGACGCGACCGACGTCGTGGGTAACAGCTTAAATTCATATATTCATAAAAATGAAAAGGAGACTTGCAAAAAGAAATTTGGCCAAAATAACCATTTTACGCGGACGAAGTCGCTGTCACAGCTAGTGTTAAATATATCTCAAACTCTCCTTAAGTTTTTGAGAACAAATGAAAAAAGGTATACGTACCGACGATAGTAGAGTACCCGCACACGCAGTAGAGGGTGTTGGGCGCATTTCGAGGGGCATCTTCGAGTGAGTGTGGTCCAGCGCAGCAGCTGCTATGATTCAGCATACCGCGGTAACAAGACGTCACGTACGGACACTTGTTACACGTAGTCACGCCTCTGCAAGATACTTCATTAAAGCTTACCATTGCATGAGGAAAAAATTATCACGGTTGAAAAAAAGCAGCGACACACATGGGACTTGAACGCAAGAGCATACCATGTCGTTTATACAACAGCACAGACAGGCAAAAGATTTGCCTGTCTGTGCTGAAAAACATCTTGGAATCAGTGTTGTAGCATAAATGTGCTGACGCGAAACCCTTTTGGCATCGCTTTTCTTCAAATCAAATGTAATCTTTTTGTATAAATTTTTTTTTTCTTTCTAGCATTGTACTTAATGAAAGCCAAATAAAGAGATATATTATTATATATCTCTTCATCGTAATTTTTAAATAATATCCAAGGTCAGTATTAACTCACAGGAAATGTTTGTTGCTATCAAGTGGCGTGTCACACTCTCGGCACAGCATTCCGTCAGGTAGAACAAGAGTCACGTCTTCGAAGGTCTCGCTGATAGAGTGGTTCGTCGAGTCTTTAACGGGTGGGCGGGCTTTGTTCTGGAAGAAAGTTAACCTATTAACATCTGCTGGACTCATGCCTTCTAAAAGGAGTAGGGTTTAATGCTTGGATCCACCAGGAACTAATGGCGGTTGATGAGGCCATGGTTATCGCCCCCCAAATAGTGATAGTTATTGATTACCAGGGCACGGGATGATGGCACTCCAGCTTTTAAACTTCGGGCTACTACTAGGGAGCGTACAAAAATGTAAAATACTAAATTAACATTTCCACCAATGTTTGTTTTGTAAATTTTTAGTGATATTAGCAACACAGCCTTAAATCCTGTGGCCACTATAGTAGTAAATACTATAGTTTGATACTGACCTTGGGATGGTTGATTAAGTGCTCTTCAGAACAAAGTGGCAAGGTGTCGCTCATTGAGTTATGGTCGCGTACTTGATGCTCCTTGAGTTGTCCTGTGATATTGGTTAATAAGCATATAGTTAACAAAATACATGGGGCTGCTAGAGGCAAAGTGGTTTAGTAAAAAAAACATGATTTTCAATACAAAGGAAAATAAGAATGAGCAATTAACTTAGGCGAAAATGAATTTGTCCTATTAATTATTTGTGTAAGAATTATATTAAATTTTTTCGGTCACTGTGCCTTTGTAGATTAACATTTTTAGACTGTGTAGATATAAATTAGTTAAGTCATAAAATTGCAGTTAGGGAACTCTGTCTGTAGCGGCCTCATATATAGTTAATAAAAAATATATGACTTGAAAGGCAGTTGCCTCTTTTGGGAATTCCCAAGAAAGTGACAGGATAATGAAAATAGGATATATAAATAGGTAAGTATATCTGTACTCTATATATATATTTAATTCCTTATAATATGACTCTGTGATATTTCTGTTTGTTTCCTGTTTTCTTAAATAAGTAAGGTTGTTACCGAGATGAACGAAGCGCAAGACGCAACGATTGCATCGCACCTCCAGCTGGCTTTGCTGATGTTGGCGCAGGTGCTCCAGAAACACGACCAAATTGGCGCGCATTTCGCATCCGTTCGCGTAAACTGGGATCATCTGAATAATTGAGATGAAATAAAATATTTCATAGATTAGTATAAAATAAGCACAAATTCATAATGAATTCTGTAGCGTTTCATTTGAGATTTTCCATCAAAATTAATGTTCCTGCAAACTAAGTGAAAATGAAATGCTATAATTAATACACTATTTTTTTCAGTTGTATTAAGGCAAGTGCAAAAAGATTTAGCAAAAAAAAAAACAACACGTAAAACCGTTAAATTTTAGTTTAACATACATGTGACGACATCGTGTCCTTGTTGAAATGAATCAAACAAATTTTTAGAATATTCGCGTTTTAAACCGTTAAAGGGTTTAAAAAAAATTACGTTAAGTATTAGTGCCATCTAAGGCTGACCAACAGTTCCAAAATACCAAATACAGTATATAAAAGTCACCTTGAGACAGAAGGGACAGTAGAGTGCGGAAGACATGCGATGTACGGAGTAGAGGTGGTCAAGTGTAGCACGGTGTGCGGAAGCGCGATACGGGCACTTCGGACAGGCATATGGAAGCTCTCGAGGGGCATGTGCCTTTTGCATATGCGCAGCTAATGTCAATACAGCTGCGAATCTCGTCTGTAATAAAATATATTTAGATCTAGCTGTAACTGCTACTTCCTCCGCGTAGGATAGTTCTTTTGGGCATCAAAATTTGTTTTTGCAAACTTTCGTGACATGAAACGAAACGACATGACGTCGTTCGCGTCTTGTCGTTTCATTTCAGTTCATTTAATGAGGAAGCCTTCTTCCATGCATATTTTTTGGGTATCTCGAACCGTCTTCAAGAGTATGCAACGGAAACCCTTAAATATATTTTTTAATAAATTTTTTTCCCAGTTTATTTTACATTTCCGAATATATCTTCGCTCTTATTGGTCGGATCGTGATTAAAAACTTAATAATAAAACCTAAATCCTTCCTCGACAAATGCTCTAACGAACAGTTTTTAAGAATTTTCTAATGCGAAGCAGTAGTTTCTGAGATTGTCTCGTTCCAACAAACAAACTCTTTAGCTTAGTAAAGATTATACTACTATAGATATATTGCAAAGAATATTTAATTGGAAAAATATGGCATGAGAGTTACCTCACAAATGAGACAGGCATAGGTGAAAAGTTCAGGTGACTTTGTATCTATCGGGTGTCGCACGCGCAGATGAGTGACCAGTTCAGCTGCAGGCAACTTGGCCAAGCAGTATACACATTGTGCAACGGGGTCCGTCTCCGAACTCGAAATCACGTGATCATATAGATGATGGAGTAATTGGGTACTCTCGTTGAACACCACTCCGCACTCGGGACACTAAAATATAACAGTTTAACCTTCAATCTTGACAGCTTAACTTTTAATTACATATCCCGTATGACCCAAGGAACAGTCAAATTAAAATAAAATCAGGCTATGTTTTTAAATACTGATGTATGTGCTAAGAAACTTGGTTAAGCAAAAAAGTCAATATAATGCCACACTTACTTCAACAGCGATCATGGTCTCTTCCGGCGAGTCTCCTTTTGTTTGTCCGAAGTAGTGACGCTCAAGGGAAACTGTTTCCTCAGCTTTGAGCTCCTTCTTTATGGTTTTAAGTGGAACATCCAGCTCTTTGTCGTCCTCGTCGATGTCAATGTAGGTCTTAATGGCCTTCCGTCGGGATCTAGGCGTACTGCTTGATTCTGACTCCTTGTTCTTTTCCTGTTTTATCTTTGTACGACGAAGCGCGAGAGGTATCTAAAGAAGATAACGTAACCTCACAATTAATATCTTACTTCCTTAATAACTATGACTGCAAGTATTTGTGTAGGTATATAATTTTAAAGTCTAAATAGCTAGACAGATTTTGATTATATTTTTGTTTCCTATACATAATGGTAACATTGATATATACAGTAAAGCTATTTAATAAGTATAATTTTTAAAATGCTCTTTTATTCTCAGTATTACCTCTTCGTCATCGTCATCGGCAACATAAAGAGTCTTTTCCTTTTTCCTCTTCTTTGGGGGTGCAGGTGGAGGGGAGAGTTCCTTCTTCTTGCGCCCACGCCTACCACGCCCCAGCTCGGGTTCTGGCGCATCTTCTATATCTCGTTCTTTTTTCTGTACACATATCATTCAGAAGTCACTAATAGAAGAATCTCAAATAATATGTTCTGTCAACCATATTATACAACAAGGTATATTAGTATAAGTCCAAAAAAAATACCTTGTTAGGATATTTCCAGTTCTTGAAGGGGTGTGCTGCAATCTTAGTGAGACGGACAGTGATGCTGTCCTTTGCATCCAGTTTGGTCTGCTCAGCTATATGCGTTACAATATTGTCAAATGCTTGACCAGGAGTAATGCCAAACCTTTAAAAATCAATTAAGACAAAAAATACATGTAATTCTAAATTCACTTGTTTTTACTTAAATGTTGTCAGTTATAAAGTACTATACTGTCAAATGCAAAATGTCTATTATTTTTACTTGTTATTATGCAATTCTTAATAGAATTGAAAGTGTAAGTACATATAAACTTACTTTTCTCTCCAGACCAGTTCATCCAAAAACTGCTGTATGATCTGACGAGAAAGCAGCGATAGGGTGTTTTGAAACATTCGCGGCACTATACGGCGTAAATACTCCATGATGTTGGCGTTTGTATTCTTATGTTGTGGTTCCGCATGTGAAGACGACTGGTGCACGTTTTTAAAGCCCATAGAGACTAGAGTGCTTTTGTCTACCGTTAGGTCGGTTAGGATGATAGAAGATGGGTGCACCCAATTATGAAGAGGTTCTAAGATCTTTTGAAAGCGTTTCTTGTAGTTTTTCTCATATTCTGCAAGTGGTTCTACAGCGCGAAGACGAATCTGAAAGGTGAATCAAAGATTTAACGACATTCAGTTTGAAATAATAAAAAAAAAACATTATAACAGTCAGAAATTTCTGTAACTTACAACTTTTTCCACAGGATCAAGCACACCAAGTACTTCAACTTTGACTTGCCGTTGAGTTCCATCATGACTGGTGGTTCCAAGTGAGATAACGCCTACTTCTACTTTTTTACCCCCACCACCTAGCAGACCTAAGTGTTGGTGTGTCGCAGACGTACAAATAGCACGCAACCAAGTAAATAACCCTTTCACATACAGGTTATCCACTTTAACCCACTGGACCACATTTTGCACATTCGTCTGACATGCCCAATGATAAATTAGCTTTAATAGCACACTTGGCGGGAATGTTGCTCCTTCAAATATTGAGCTTGAGAATACAGACACAAATCTAGTTGGGCAACATTCAGAAATCCAAACATACCCTCCGGAATATGGGAATTTTGTTGTGTCGGAGTACATTCCTGAAATTTTGTTATGTTTTATTTTCTGAACTATGTATGTAACTGAAGTGACAAACAGATTATACTATTATAACATACCTAATTTAAGTTTGTTTCCATGATGTATTGCACACCATTGCTCTGAGCGTACAAGCCCTTGTTGGATGAGCCACTCAGTAAATTTCATAGGAGTGTGAACCAGCACTGACTTAACCTTAGTGTCAAGTGCTGCACGGTCACTTGCCGGTGCTTCCTTCGTGCGCAAGTATGGCCGCGCCACTACTACGAGTGATGGGAAGGTTTTACCTGATAGACAATATTTCTTACTTTAGTTTAACATATTAAATGATCTTGTACATTGAAATGGAAAAATATAATATTTTGATGATACCTTGTAGTTTATTAAATGAGACTTCTCTGGAATCTGCAACATTCTTATTTCCATCTTCTTTAGTCAGATCAACAATGGCAGTTGTCTTTGCAGTGGTTCCAGTGAGGAGGCCACCAATTGCTGTCACTTCTGAAGGTCTCACATTGGTCACTACGCTGTGCACATCTATTGGAATTAGGAAATAATTTAAAAAATAGAATTGTTAAATTTTCTATTGTTAATAAAATTCTATTACTTACTGGATGGAGCTAAAGTTTTGTCCTTGGTTTTAGTGACTTCTTTATTCTCTTTATCTTCTTTTTTCTTTTCTTTGTCTTTCTTCTTCTTTTTGCTGGGTCGTATTTCTGGAGAGTAACTTTTTTCACGAGAGTAGTCACGCTTGCCTCGAGCTGGTAAATATTTAAAAACTTAGTTTGATCTTTTAAAGGATTAAATTGACTTATACTTTTAAAATGTGAGAAAATTTATTGAACCTAATGTCATATATAAAAAAAAGTTATGAACTGTACCATTTGAAATTAGGCAGTTAATTTTGTTTTTAAACAAGAGTTTGCATAACATTTCTTAGTTAAAAGAAACTTTTAAGGTAACTTAAACATCATCTTATGTTACAGTCCATTTAAATATTTTTACAAATATCATAGAGATAATAACAAAGCTGGTTATAAAAAAAATTACTCACTGCGTTTACTTCCCTTTGGTTCTTTTGATATTGACATGGATCTGGATCTTGACCTGATGATATCAGCACTTTGTCTTTCTAAATCTTTCAAAACAGGTTGCCTAAAACATAAGCATAGAATGCCATATAAAAGATGATAAAAAAATATGATAGAGCAAGGGTTATGTAGAGGCTTAAAACCTACTTTCCAAGCAGTTGGTATGCGGTAAATTGATCTCCATTGTAAACTATTTTCCCTCCTGTATCCTTAACTATATCATCCAGGGTATTTTGGATGTTTTTATATTCCTCATCAGCATGCTTGTACGCTTGCAATTGAACTTCTGAAAGCTCTTCTTCCCAGCATTCCAGTTCCAGGGTTGGGACATCAGGACCGAAATATGTACGCTTGTACAGATCAGCCTCTATTATTTCCGGAGGGGGCAATGTCGGCCCTTCCTGCAATGATTATTGCACAAAATTGTAGTCAAAATACATATTAAAATATATAATAAGAAATGAAACTTGGTATTTACTGCCATATTATAATATTAGCAAACCTCCGTATCTGTTTTAAGTTTCATAGGATCACTATGTTAATAACAATTTTAAGAAGCGTACTACACTTTAAGTACGCAGTGCTTGCTTATTACTATTATTTCCTTTTATTATATTTTAACAATAAAACGACATAATATCACCAAGATATAATTTATTATTTTGGTACAAACATACGCCATTCGGCGTCACCACAGATTTGATTGAAAATAGTGATCACATTAACGTCATACTGGCCCATAGATATTTTTTTTCTAGCAAGTAACATCGATTTTGTTATTACTTATATTATATACATTTTACTTTTACTTCTGCCTGTGGTAGTCAGACGTTATACACTGGCCACAGATTGTATATCAGAGTACTTGCGGAGTCATATTTCGTATTTGGATTTTGACGACTGACGTTCAAGACGCTGCTTTTATTTCTATACGTACATAAATATTAAATTAATTTCAAATAAAAAGTGTACTAAATCCAACCCACAAAGAAACTGTTATGTAAAAATTATTTTACAAAAGAAACAAATCGTAGCAATAGGCAAAAGTTAGTGTGAAGTGAAGTATAATGTGATTTTCCGTTCTATAAATCGATAATTGGATTAGAAAAAGCAGAATCCATAATGGAAGCTGTACCAAAACTATCATTCCTGAGTTTTGACCTTAAGATAAGTCCAGAAAATACTCATTTCGGGCCGAAGTTAAAACAGGTAAAGTAGATGTTGAAGTCATCAATGTTCCTTGAAATTTGTGCAAAATATTTTGTAATTGTGTTTTAATTGATATTTATCTCAGTACATAGCAGAAGTATACCGTGAAGACCCAGAAAGTTATGGCAATGAAGTGCACCAGTTGGAAGGACTGAGATCAGCAGCAGTTCGGCCTACAAATGATGTAGAAGGACTAAAAGCATTAAACAGATACTTTTGCCAATTAAGAGCTATGCAAAGTCGCTTTCCTATGGCTAAAGGTCAACCTGCTGCTTGCACTTTTGTTTGGTAAAGTTTTATCTAATCAAGACTATAATTTACTTAGTTAATTTTATCAAAATATAGAGTAAAATACAGCTCTAAAAACAGTTATTTAATAAAATGTTTCAATGATTTGATTCTGTTATTTATTGGTTGTTTTTATCACCTTTTTTTGTAAGAGTATGATATGGGTTGATTCACCTAAAAGTATAATAACTTTCAGGAAGGATTTATATGCAAATATGAATTGTTCACTCGCAGACTTAAAGTTTGAGATGGCATGCATACTATACAATATAGGAGCTCTTCACACTCAACTGGCTTCATCAGAGACTCGCACATCACCTGACAGCCTTAAACTTGCATGTCAGCACTTCCAAAATGCTGCTTGGACATTTCAACACTTAATGGAACAGTACCCCCAACCATCAGGGGCTGATGTGTCACCAGAAATTCTCAAACTGTTGCAGGAGATATGCTTTGCCCAAGCACAAGAGTGTATATTGGATAAAAGCAGACAAGATACAAGAAAACCTAGTGTTATTGGTAAGACATAAATAAAAAAATTACAGCTTCCATTTTCATAGCTTTATAATGCAATTTTAAACCATATTTATTTCTAATCATCAGGTGCTGTGGCTACCCAAGTATTGTACTTTTATAAGAACTCCTTGGCAATTCTTGGCCCTTCAACAGGCACTGACAATATACATGAAATAATTGGCACTAAATTATACAATGTTTGGTACCGACATCTGTCTTTTAAGTCCTCATATGTAGGCTGCATTGTGTCCTTATATCAAGGTATTTATATTTTTTTACTATTTAGGATACCCTTATTTTATTGCCTGTAATATTTAAACAAAAACTTAAGTAAAATAATACACCTATAAATGTAGGTATTCATGCTGAAGAGCAACAGAAAATGGGTGAGCGTGTTGCATACTACCAACAAGCTGTTGACAAATTGAATGAAGCTCGAAAGCTGGCTAAATATATTGAGCCAGTGCAAGTAACACAGGAAGCACTCACTTTTACAAATGATGTAGTAGAAGGAAAGAGGAAAGCTGCTAAAAATGAAAATGAATTCATCTATCATGAAGAGGTTCCAGATAAGGATGTGCTATCAGAATTAAAGCCAGTTTGCTTGGTAAAAGTGTTGGCTATAAATTTTAATGATCCAGAGGTATGTTTATGGCTTTTTTATTACAATATAAAAGTAATATTGAATTGTAAGTAATAATGACAAGTAGGTTTGGGGGTTTTAATTTGTTTTTAAGGAAAAAGAAATGAATGAATTTTTAAACTTAACTCATCTTGTTAACTAATAGTATAAAAACTATATAGGTGGCTGGGCAAGATATATTTTCCCGTTTGGTACCAATAGGCGCACATGAAGCATCTTCTTTGTATTCAGAGGAAAAAGCTAAGCTCCTGAGACAAGTGGTTTCACAAGTTGAAGCGAAGAATCTTGAACTCTCGGAGTTTATGTCTTCCTTGCAACTTGACCAGTTAGATGTTCTTGATGCTGATCAAAAGTAAGTGCACAAGTTTGATTTTATTTTCTTGGATGGTAGTTAATACTGATAACATAACCTGCTTACTTCAATTTTGGTATTAAACAATGTACATTGTTAATCGTGATTCATAACTATCTGTCCTCATTGCAAGATATCTCTTATCAGGTATTGCCTTAAGACTTGTTTGTATTTGTTTCAAGTGATAATAACTGCAAAGGCATAAAACGTCATGGAGTTAACGCAATCGATGCAGCTAGTATTCCATTCAAATTGATTAAAAAAAAACATATGTCCCAAAATACACACAATAGAATTGAAGGTACATTATAATGTATGTAATGTAGGCCACATTACATACATTATAATGCACATTATAATTTTGGAATTAATGATGGGGATGTAATTTTTTAAGGATACCCCAAGAGATAGTTGATCGATGTGCAGCGATGAATGCAAAAACAGAAATAATCAGCACTCTGGTGGATTCCATGAACAATCTCGCTGAGCTCATTAGTGATGTTGAGCATACTCTAGGCGACATTAAGGCTATTATTCAGGTATCTATGTCAATGTAAAGTGCATATTACTATTAGCTCGAGTCATACCCTTCAGGTGTCAAGGTTATTTCATGATACCTACAATGAAAAATTGGTTAACACAAAAGAAATTTGAATCAATTGCTTCTGTCCTCTATGTGTATACAGTATCTCTTACGTTAAATTATGTCTGTAGTTTACGCGAGTAGTACACATTTAAATAAAACACTTTAACGGTTAACACACACTAAACTTAATTAATGTATATCGCGTTTTTATCTGTTAAAGAGTTTTATTTTAATGTCTTAGGTTTATAGATGGGGTATGAGAGTAATAAATACATTGTTTGAGGCAGGCATTAAGCTGTTAAAATGCTATAAGATACAGTATATTTATTCCTAAACCTTGTTTACTAAAATAGGTATAGGAAAGTATACCATTTTATTATTTTGCTAAATGTAAGTCTTATTCATATTGAAGAATTTAATGCAGGAAGAAAGCCAAATGGAAAAAGAGTATCAGAAGACAATGGGTCCCCGTCCGCCGTCTTTGGTTCAGACGGAGTTGGCTCGCGAGTTGCACAAGTACAACGAAGCTCATGCGCGTACGTCTGACAGCAATCAAGTGCTGCACAAGGCCATGACGTTACACATTGCTAACCTGCAGCTGCTGGCTCAACCACTCGACCAGCTGCAAGAGAAGATACCTAGTGTTGATAACATTGGTTAGTTCTATTTCCTTCCTAGAGAAAAACTAATGTTGGCCTTTTATTTCGTTTGTTATGACAAGCTGTTACATTATCATGAATAATATAATAATCATTTGTATGTATATATTCTTATACAGACTTATATGAAACCTGGGTAAATAAGAAACCTCTATAATTGAGTGTTGCAATAAGGTCCCAGTTCTTTTTCTTTGAATTACTTCTGTTAATGGAGATTTGAATTCTAAGATGTTTTTTTCAATGTTTACCTCTATAATAAAGACTCTGTAGGTGATATTGATATATGTGTAAGTGAAACAAATTACATATTTTACTCCAATTTACAAACAAACGTGGCGGCCTCTATAATAAATGAGGCAACTATAGTTTTAAACCTGCTTAACTATAAAACTGGAACTATGAGAACCCCTCAATGATTGCTCCATATGTCTTGGTCCCTTGAGATCTCAATTACCCAGTTTTCACTGTATAAATGTTATATTCCTTTTTGTTAATCAGAGGGTCTGGATCGAAATACAATGGGCGAGATGCGGCGCGTAGTTGGGAAAGCACGCGAAATGCAAGCTCAGCGCACTGCTCTCGTTGCTGAATTAAGAGCGACACTTGCAGACGATGACGTCACTGCTCTATTGTTGGCTGACCCGCACCAACCTCACGAAGAACTCTTTAAGCGGGAAATAGAGAAACACACACCAAAGGTTAATTATATACTAGTAGTAAACATTAAAATAAAACACTTGACGGTTGAAAACGCGGCATATTTTAGTTAAAAGTATTTTTGATGTGATTTGAAAGTGTTATTTAAACTTATTCGCTACAAGAACCATTTTCTTTTAAACTCGTTGACAAGTAACGCAAAGGCCTTCTTTTTCTTCGTCAATACAATTAGTGTCGTCAAATATTATATATCTATTATACAATTATTCTATTGCAGGTGAAGATCATAGAACAAAATCTAGCTGCTCAGGAGAATATAATAAATCGTTTGACCTCGCTATACGCTTCGTATGGAGATTCGCGCCGGCTCCTAGCTGATGTGTTACGCAAACGGGACGCCATGCTCAGCGGTATGCATTACTATTGTAATTTTGATATCATGTCGAGAATAATTTTAAACTAAGTTTAATTATGCGCAGCTCTTGTAACGTCGTATGACAGCTTTGGCGAGTTAGTCAGCAAATCAGCGAAAGGACTGGAGTTTTATCGCAAATTGCAGCACAATCTGAACGCGCTCCTCGCTCGCGCTCGTTCCGTCTGCCAGGTGCAAAGAGAAGAACGTGAACAGATGCGCAGTACTGTGAAAGGTCAGTTTTTTATTGATATATTAATTAATTTTAAGGTTTAAGTGATGATATTCATCTGATAAGGACAAAACATGGAATAGCTGTTCTGAGTTTTGGTTATTAGAATGCGCTATTTGATTGATGTTTAAATGTACTTTATATTATTTGATAGATTTTAAGAAACCCCAGAAAATAAATCAAATTAAAAATCTAATATTTAAATTGCGCGTCTAAACGTTAATTTTGCGAAATCACGCTGCAATAAGGCTAGTGATGTCACGACTTTATATTAGCCATTGGTAGAATAGAAAAGTTTTATAAGCAAGTGTCGTCATCATAAACGACCAATTAGGATTTTTTATATTTGACTGCGTTCCTATTTCTACTCAACTTATATCTAATACATATTATCAAATAGTCCATTCTGGATAAATTTTTGTATAGAATACGTAATTCTGATTTAGCTCCTGCTACGACAAAGTCCAGCTCCGTGACGCCAACGATGCCTCCATCTTCCGGCACCACGCCAAAGCTAAAGGACTATTTACCTTACATGAAAAACAGGTCACTTGCTCGAAATGTGCCACCTCAAGGTAATATATCAATATGTTACTTATGTCAAATGTTTTATCAGTATCGGTTATTTATACTTAAAAAATGATCTTCAGTTTCAATGGAAATGCAGCCGCCAGATTCGTATCCCGATCCTACGTGCCCTACTTCAGTTCGCCCGACTCCTGTCGGATCCGAAGGTAAGCATATCTATATCTTACTAATTAAATCAATAAGAGTTACATAAAGGTGTGAATGCTTTATTTTTATCCACAGCTACAGAAGTGTCTCAACCAGCTTTACCCGACGGTGTTGGCTATGCAAATTACCCTACAAATTATATGCAGCCTGATTCTGACCCCTACAGTAAATATGGGTACCCTGTTAACAAACAGTTTAATAAGACAGAGCAAAATCAGAGTTTCAATTACCCTGGATACAGTCAACCACAGTACCTGAGCTCGGCTCCTGAACAGCAAAGTTTTTCTAACCCCTATCAAGCAACATCCGGGGTGTCCACGCCCATAATGGATCCGCAAGCAGAAGCTGCTTATTCGATACAAACGAACCTGCACAGCGGGTATCCAGGTGCTCCTTTGCCGTCGCTAACAGACATGTCATCTTCAATGAATGTTAATCAAGATTTGAGTTCAAATTTTTCTCAAATGCACTTCTCGGCACCAAAATCTGAAGCAATGGGCAATTACAGTGGAGAGTACTCACAGACATACTTCAGCGTTCACTATCCGCCCTCTTCCTCCAACGTCGCTACTTACAGTCATGCGCCGCAAAACATTAACACTAACAGTAGCACTCAATTGTCGTCTCAGTATGCTATGAATTACCCTCAGGCGCCTATCGAAAATGAATATGGGCAGAACACCGGGCAGCTCGCATCGTCCGCCTCAAATTCTTATGCAAATTATTCTCAATCTGCTCAGAATGTTTCCAGCGCTTTTACACCTGCTTCTACTAACGTTCCCAATGCGTATCAGTCGTACTCTGAAGCATCGCCCGCTGCCTTTTCTAATGTGACAAGTGGCAATGCAGCAAATCCATATTTTAACTCATCCAATACCAACATGTACATTCCGCCCAATCAGGCCCCAAGTATGCCATCTTCGATGCCGAACCAAATGGTTGCCGGTTCGGCTCCAAACGCTTCGAGCCAATATGTCAGCGAGCCTCAGTATGCAGGAGGCTTCAACAATACTATTAATGATTCCAATTACACGAATGCCAACCAATCATCTACGTCCACAGCTAGTGGTTTTAACTCTTCCGTAAATTACAACCTCCCGACAGACTCAACAACATACGTAAACCCTGCCTTAGCGCAGATCGACGAACTGGACCAGCCTATAAAGTCACACGCCAAAGGCGAAGCCCTATCTATGCCGATCCCGAATTATCAAAACTATAACATGAGTACCAACGTTAGCTTCCCGTCTGATCAAAACACGCAATCGATTACTATGAGTGCCCAATATAGTGACACAACTAACTCAAGTTACGGTCAAACGTATCAAAACCATCCAGGCTACACTTACAATGCGAACACGGGGAATTATGACTACAGTTATGGCTCGCAAAATTCTTACACCAATTATGAACAGCAAAACGTAGATTACAACCCCCAAAAGATGGGTCAAGAACAGAGTTTTAATCAGAGCGGCGTGTACACCAGTGCGGGCACGTACAACACGATGCAGTCCCCGTCAGAGGCTACGCAACCAGTGACGCTGTCCCAAGAACAGGGACAACAGCAAAACGTATACAATAACACGTATGGATATAATACAATTTCGAATCAGACGAACGAAGGGTTCATGTCAAATGCTCCTCATAGTGCTCCTGCTGCGTTATCAGCCGTCGCTAACCAAGGTAAGAATATGAATTTATTAGATTAAACTTATCAAATTGTAATATTACTAGTTAACAACAATGCAATAAATGGGTATGAAGTATAATCGTTTTTTATTACTCCTTTTCAGTGTCATTTACTAATGAAATTAGTAATGAGAGCTCGGTTGTCTCTGAAAACGTTGAAATTGTCTCACGGCCGCCAGAAATGGAGCCGGTGCCACCTGTTCCAGAACCCGAGGTGGCTCCGGTAAACACAGTCGAAGAGAGCAAAGAACCGACAACCTTTGATCTCTTATCCGATATTGATTTTAGTGTTGAACAAAAGCCTTTATTGCCGGAAATAAAAGTCCCACAGATCTCGGACAAAGCTATTTTTAAGTCTCCCGCTATTACAAAAGTCGATACAGTGAAACCCCCTCCGGAGGAAGAAGAAAAAATCCAACGGCCAGTGAGACGAGATCTCTTCTCGGATCCAAGTCTGGTGAATCGATTTACCCAGGAGGTTAAACGTTTGCAACAAATAACAGATTCTCTAATAAATAAGACCCCCAAGGGCTTGACAGTATTAGATTCAAAGTGGAAACAATTGCAAGATTCTCAAGTAAGTTTCTTTTAATTGATCTTTTAAAAAATGTTGATCTAGAAGTTTATATCTGAGTTGTTTTCAGAACCAAGAAAATATGAACAAGTCGAAGAGAATAGTAATGGAACGCTCTCGTAACATAGTCAGCGATGTCGTGCCATACGATGACTCTCGATTGAGACTCAAGACAGATCCAGACGCATACATAAATGCATCATACTACAAGGTACAGATGATAAAGCAGACGATACAGTGCAATATATACTAAATGGGCTGTTTGACTGATTAAAAAAATATGATTAGTAGATTTTAAGGATACAAACGAACCCAGTAAAGTAGTATTTTTGAATTCTGATACATATTTGCTGAAATATTTCAAATTAAAAATCCAACATTTAAATTGCGTGCCTAAACGCCAAATTTCCGAAATAACGCTGCAATACGGCTAGCGACGTTGCGACCTTATATTGGCCATTGATGTATGGCGATCATTTAACCTACAAGCATTTGGACCTAACACTTACATATTAACAGGTATTGAAGTAATAAAATTAGTTACAAATTCATTTATTTATTAATGCAGAAAATAGAACTGATTTAGCACTAAGGAAGAAGCCCTGTTATTTATTGCACTATTTATAAGCAAGTGACGTCGTCATAAACCTGACCAATCGGAGCGTTTTGTGTCATGTGACAAAATTTTAAAAGTATTTTTTTTATTAAATCAATTATTATTTTTGACTTAAATTAGTCTATTACCATTTTTAAACTTATACTTAATACTGATAAATGAGTTACCCATTGTCAAATTGCTCATTGCTAATATGAGTTGCAATTCTACTAAATACTTATTACATCAATATTTTCATGTTACAGCAATTATCGTCGTGGTGTGTACCTCTAGTTATATCCAAGTGCCCCGATGAGACAGACACAGAGATATTTTGGAAAGCAATGTTTGAGAATAATATTACATGTATAGTTTGCTTGCTTACAGAAATTGAGGTAATTATTTTTATGGTCTTATAAACAAATTTGTCCAACCTACTTATAAACTTCATTTTGATAATATTTAATAACCTTTCAGATGCAGGGAGCCCCGTACTGGCCGACAGCGAAAGGTCAGACGTTGGGTCTTAACGGTATCCGAATAATGCTGGAGGAAGTGCGATGCAGCGTGCATTGGACTGAGCGGAAGCTGATCTTAACACAGGGCTCCCGCACGCACTCTGTCACTCACTACCAGATCAACGTATTTCCAGTCAAGTATGTATTTTACAGCATAAGGTAATATGCGCTAGTTCAATATGTATAAAAATTTCAATCCTGTTAAAGGATAATTACAAATTAGAAATATATGTATTTTGTAAAATGATACCATTGTGTATGAGCCAATCAATAAAAGTAAGGTTAAGGACTTATAAAGACTCACAAAACCCCCACCCTCGTTAAAAATAAGATTACAAACATATTAAACCGGCAAAAGTGTTATATTTAAACTACAGATAATACTCAAATTCACTTGGTTGTTGTTGGGCGTTTTGTGTTGTGCAGGGTATTGTGTTCGCCACTGGTACTCCTATGTGACGCAGTGCTGCGGCTCACCAGCGCAAATGGCCCGAATGACCAGTTGAGCGGCGCTTGTTTGCACTGCAGCACGGGTGCGGGCCGCAGTGCTCTCGTGGCATTGCTGCTAATGCTTATTTCCCAAGTGCGCGCTGGTTACCTGGATCTCGTGGGTAAGTGATAATGATGATGCTGAATATGCAAAACTTTTACGACTATTGATAACACGATATTAAGACTGAACATTTGTTTCAGATGAGCTAGAAGCAGGCTGTATGTCGCTTTGTCGAGGTCGCACTGGTGTGTTAGCTGACCCCAAGTACCTTGCGGACGCTTATCGCGCGGCGTTGTTCTATGCGCAGGGAGTTCTTTGCTCGGGTAATTCTATTCTATTTCAAATACAGAGTAACTAATACTAAATACTTAGGAGTGTGTAACGGGAAAGACAAATAACTGGTAACTGGTCTGAGTAACAATCTACTTATCATTATTTTATAATAGAGGAGGGCAGACGAGCGTGGGTGTCACTTTAATGGAATCTATCTGAATTTCACCTTTCATTGATGCAACATCTCTACAAGATTCGCTGTTGCCCTATTTGGATATTCGGAATATACAAACGAACCGGAACTGTTTTCATCTGTGGACGATGCTTCATGACCCTAACAGAATTTCGATATTCCTACCATCCATTTAATATTCAGGTGTTCAACAGAAATATTGTAAATAGCATTAGAAACATGTTAGACTCTGTGGGGATCGGAAATCAAACCTGTTGATTAATAACTATGCATTGCTAACTAGACCAATGACCCCGTCAAAAACATATAAGTAATTATTCGAATATTCAAGGTTCGACATTGTTTAACGGCGAATCGGTGTCCTTTCCGAGCGGCGCAGGAGTGTTGCCACAATCTGCCACCACCCCAACACCCTCCACCGTCCCGACAGCAAGTGGTTCAAGCGCTCAGCGAACTAAATTCAACCGAGAGTCATTCGAAGAAATGCGACAAGCGCCCGGGCTTAAAAACGTTGACATGAAAGACCCCCTGAACTTCCTCGATCCTCTTTGGACTCTCAAGAAAAAGTAGCTATCAAATCGTCAAAAATATTTTTGCAATATCCCCCATGAGTTTAATTCTAATCCAATGAAAAAAATTGTATACTAGTTTAGATTGAAAAATTACAATGATCTTATTTTAACAATGTTATTTATGATATATTTTTAAACATTCCGTATATGTATATTGTAATCGATAATTAATAAGATATAGTATATTCTAGGTTAGTTATATGGCCACTCAGTAAAAACGTGGCGTGAGACTGCAACTGTAGTATTGTATTTAAGATAATATATTAATAAATGATATTTTGTTTTTATTTGTAATCTATATCCAAGATAAGACTATAACTAAAGTATGTGCTTACATGTGAAACCGAAAATCAAGAGATGCAATAAAACCTTTATTAAATCAATTCATTGTTACTAAAATATTACTAAATAACATTCTTAGCCTATTATAAATTATATAATTAGGTCATAAATCCCTAGCTGATGATTATTACTTAAACCATTATTGTTGTAAAGAAAAATGCGTTTCTCAGTAACCATAATACAATACTTCATAATGAAATCTCTCATAATGTCATTATTTAAATAAGAATAACAAAATAATTGCAGACATTTATGGGATGCATGCATTGATAATGGAATCAAGAAAAACATTAATTACCATAACCTTAGTTGATGAAACCCTAAAATCAGTTACAGAATTTAAAATTCAGATTAGATCCTTGCAGTCAATTTGCACAACTACTTGGCTTTCGACCTGCAGTTGTGTAATAGCTCAAAAACTCAAATAAATCGTCAAAATCGTGGTTAAAACTACAACAATTCAATAATCAACAACTTACAAAATCAAATTTCACTCCAAACATAACAGTCTTGGCTCGACAGGACTATTGAAGCAGATGATATATAACGGTAACCATGAAGCAAATTGTATTTCACAATAAATTATTATGATAATAACGAGATCAATATACGTATAATAACTTATTATTTTAAGGACTTATCTTTTATACGATGGTGAAGTATTGCGTGGGCTTGTCTATGGTTGAAACTGATCTTCTATTGACTTCGGGCAGCGATTGGAGGGAATCTTGTGTCGCATTCTAAAAAATAAATCCAATGTTCAAAAATTTCAAAATATTTCTTTCTTAGAATATCTATGCGTAATACGATGGATATTGTTCCAGTGGAATCAAGAGACACAGAAACGTACGTCTCACAGGGAGAAATTGTATTTCAATTGTGCGTAATTCATAGCAACAAGCAACTACCTACCTCCGTTTCTCCTTCGTACTCATTCACCTCGACTGGTATCGAATCTCCATCTTGTGTTAATATCTGAAAAAAATATAAGAATCATATTCATTCGATTTTCATTAATTTTATTTAATATACAAGTGATTTACATATACTCTTTATTACCTGTTTCAAGTACACGTTCTGAGTATGTTGTTTCATAAATCTAATAGTATTCATTAGACTTCAAAGGGCGACATATTTTCAAGAATATTTGATTAGAACAAACAGGAAAGTATAGACTAAACGTACCTGAAGAGTTTCACCGTCCAGGGAAGCCACTGTCAACATGGTGCCATCTTGCATTCGGAAGTGCAAAGGCGATGGGGCCTGGCCCCGTATTATTTGCACCTGCATATTATTTGATTGATGTAATTGATGCTATACATTATGAAATACATTATTATACACCTGTTATCTTAAAAAATCTGATTTAAAATTGAAAGAAAAAGTTTTCAATAATCTTTTACCTATTTTCTTCGCTGGTTCAATCTTTCTTAGTTTCTTAATTATTGTTATTTACTTTTTTTTTAAATTCAGCAATAAAATTAAATAAGAGTTTAACAGGAATGATAATCTCTAGAGAAAGGTATTTAAAAGAAAGGTACCTGTTCGTTTTGAAGTGTGGCGAAATGTTCTTGACCAAGTTCTACCTCAACATCTTCTTGAGCAACAATTGACGGGCCAGTGTATAGCTCGCAGGTTGCCAGCACTTTTTCATTGTCCAAGTTGGTAACCTTTACAGTCAGATAAAAGGTCAATATCTCAAAGTTAGAGGAAGTGTAGACATAAAAATGTTTTTTTTTTAATCTTTTTTTCTACGCAGTATTTGTAATGTTAGCTCAATTCTGAACAGCAAAATAAATGTACTGTATGTATTCAAATTGAAAAGGCTGTAATTGCTTCTCTTTAAATTAAAGCGACAGCAAAATTAAAAGAGCTATCTTTTTCGTGTGTTCTTCAATGAAGCAAGTGTTTTTTTCGTAATTAATATAATTATTTTCATAGTCAAACAATCATACAAAATTATCTTGTCACAGTGTAAGTGACCATACTCGTCCAATTTTTGTGAAGTCGTAGGTCTGAAAATTGGTTACTATCGATTGTGAGTTGCCCTTAAGTGGTAACTTATCCACTCCAAGCATTTTTTATTTTATTTTTTGGTCAATTTTTGATGATGACATCGGTTTTTACATAATAGCAAAATAGCGTTTGTCGGGTCAACTAATAGAAAAAAAAATATCCTTGATGCACCCCTTTCAATAAAGATAGTTCAGTAAATATTTATACATCTCACCTCTTCTGAATTGATAATATGAAACGTGGAAGATTTTTCATTATCAACATCATATGCGACGTATATTACATCATCATCGCCACCTGGTGAAGAATCTGGTACGGGTTCTGCGTCCTGGTGTATCGTGGGCGTCTCACCGTTTACTAACAAGCTCATCTTCTTGTTAATCTGCAATATATTTTAAAATCTAACATTTAATGGTAGAATTTCACAATTTAAATAAAACGCGATATATTAGTTAAACTTATTTGAAAATAATTTTTGAATTCGGCCCGACGTTTCGGATGCTTTGCAGCAGCCGTGGTCACGGGGAGACTAGAATTTGACTAGATAAAATTTTGAGCCAAGCTTTGATGGATGGCCGCAAAGCCTTAACAAATGTATGTACTTTGACTGTACGTATGTTATAATGTACGTATCGAAAATACATCGTATTTATATCCGATATCGATAATATCCAATTATAACGTTTCAACTTGAATGAAATTATTACATTACTTATTTATTGTAAATATAACTGAAGAATGCATATTTAAAAACTGCGAAATTTATCACCGTGTATTAAACAAAGTCGGCAAACATTTTCATGTTTATGTACGCACCTTAGCGGGAGTTTGGTAAGAGCGCTTGACTAGGAGACTGTGTTCGTTTACTCCTGCCTGTGAACTTTTCTCTTTTTCTTGCCTTATTACGGGCAGAGGTTCTTGATGAGACACATTAATATCTGCGGTGTCCCCACGTCTGAAAAAAGAGATGACTCATGTTATGGACATGCATATAGTCATTGTATTAATTAAATTTTTTTGTTCAATTATATATTTTTGTATAGATAAGCGATCTGATCGACATTATGTCAAACTGATTGGTCTAGCTTGAGAATTAGAGAAATATTAAAATAAACTATACTTTCAAATAAAACACTTCAACGGTTTAAAACGCAATATATACTAGTTAAATTTATTTGAAAAATATTTTAACTACGGCTACTATACTCCCCGTGACCACAGCTGCTGCAAAATATCGAAAACGTCGGGCCGTAGTTCGTTTTAAACAGATAAAGTGTTTTATTTAAATGTGTACTATTCGCGTAAACTACAAACAGTGTTTAATAAACTATACTGACATCTACGACTAGCGACATAAACCGATAATATTAGCAAACAGTATTAAGATAATTTAAAAGACTGTTAGCGAGGTTGATTAACACTTTAAAATTAGATAGTTTACATATAAAAAAAAGTCGTACAAATGGTGTCTTATTGTATGCAAACGTCTCTGCGAAGAGGTGGTAAAGCGGCGCGGGCAGACGTCGCAAACAAATGGCTTTTCCCCGGTGTGGATGCGTTCGTGTTCTGTCAGGTTACCCTTCTGACAGAAGCTCTTACCGCACGTTCCGCATGCAAACGGTTTGGTGCCTAAAATTGAAAACATGGTTAAAACCTACATCTGCTGAGTGCTCTAAGAACAAACACTTGACTTTAAAATAATACTGGCCGTGCCAGTGACTTCTTTCGCTTTACTTTTTGCGCGTCAAAACCTCCTCATTTTTATCAATTTTAGCTGTTACCTACGAGGTCATACGCGCCCCGTCGTTTTTGAAAATTAATTTTAAAAGATAGACTATATACTGTCGCAGTCATTTTTCCAGATCATTTAAAGAGAAATCATGAACGTATGAACATAAATTTAGGGTATCTTGATCGCGTCAAAACCCCTTAAAATTTAATAATATAATATTTTTACCTGTGTGCATACGCATATGCAAAGTGAAAGTCGTCTTATGCGAGAAACGCTGGCTACATAAGCTGCAACTGAACTTTTTGATGCCAGTGTGGAGCATATGATGGTTTTGCAGATTGGGTTTTGTCTTGAATGTCGCCATGCAAATATCGCACTGGTATGGACGGTCTGCGGAGTGAACCAGCTGGTGCCGCTGGAGCAGCTGCCGGTGGTGGAAAGTCTTCCCGCATGCACCGCACACGTAGCGCTCTCGAGAATGCACAGACTGCTTGTGGTACAGCACAGATGACGGGTGGCTTAAAATCTATAAATATTATTAATCATTAGATATAAATTTTTATGGAAGTAAAAATGTATAAATACTATATTTTCTACTTCCCTTAAAAAAAGATATTTAAATGTATAAAATGATTTTTTTTAATTTTAATAATTATAGTATTTAATATCGATTTGTAAACCTCATAAATTTAAATGTTGCATAGTTAAAATTAATAAATTCTTGTACTGTACGGCCGTTGTAACTTGGCAGGCCTGATCTAAGCGCGAGACGCTGCGCAGAAACGTTCTTTAGGATGTTAACGGTGGTAAGAGCGAGGGGCGCGGGACGAAGATCTAGGCTAGAGATTGACTCGGTGTCAACACAATCGACGGCTTATTCTATCAAACTTTGTAATCGATTTAGATTGTGGATTTTAAATCATATGAGATATTGTACTAAATAGATTGATGAACACAGTGAATGGTGTTGTTAATAAGCAATACCATGATTACCTTTAAAGAGAAATAAAACTTGTTTTATTATTGAACTACCTGATTTAGTTAAATATGAGTAATTGTTTATATAATTACAATTTATGCCTTCTTTAGGGCTTTTTATAAAATTATATTTCTACGATCCAATTTTGTCTATTTCAATAGGAATATTAAACGACACTCACAAGGATCGCGTATGGACATCTCTATTTGATTTGAATCAATTAGTGGTATTTTACTTTTGAGTACTATATGTAAAATCTTTCATTTATCCCAGTAACGAAAATAAATGGCAGTATTAGTTTTCTATACATGTGTATAATTTTATTATTTTTTCACAATTTTAATAGGGAAACGATTAAACGATACTCTCAAGGATTCGCGTAATGGACATCTCATGTTCTTTCGTAAGCTTCGTACATTCGGTACGGTAGTGCGTCTCGGTCAATCCTTTGTGGTAATTTCGTTATCTCTGGCTTGAGCACAGTCCGTTAGAAAAGTGATTGTTTATTGTTAAATTTAATATTATTATTTATCTTTTGTTATATTTATGTTTTGTTTCTGTATTTTAATGAAAGATAAGTGTTCGTAGCCCTTATTCTCTTTGAATCAATTATTGGTATGTTACTTTTGCTTGCTATAGGTAAAATTTTTCATTTATCGAAAATGACGAATAACGAAAATAAATGGCAGTATTAGTTTTCTTTACGAGTGTACGATGCGCCAAAGTTAGTCTAACCTCTGTGCTTAAGAGCTGCCAAGTTACATCGGCCGTATTATAAGTGATTGTCTAAATACTTAAGTTACGTTTTTGTCATAGGGGATACTATAAATCGAGAATTCGGTCAGAGGTTCACCGATTGTTCAGTATACTGGTGAATTTTCTATTAATTATACATTACTTTGCCACAAATGTCGCATGCGTAGCCAGCTGCAGCACGATGTCGCCTGTGCGCTATCGTGTGAAGTGCGAGCGAGCGCGGGTACGGAAAAGACTGGCCGCACTCTTTGCACGTATAGGGCCGCTCGAGCTTATGCACCGCCTATGTTGAATGAAATAATTATTTGCGGCTAGTACTAACTAGATAATAAATGATTATATGAAATTGTAATTTCTAACTTAAATTAGAAATGGAGTTTGGATTGACAAAAAAAATTGCATCCACAGCCCTCCGTAACTCTAACCAATTGAGCTACGGTTTCCTACATTATTACTAATATCATAAATTAAATATAGAGTAAATTCTAAGTTATCGGTTAAATATAGTTACATACTAGTTTCTAAGTAAAAAAATACCTTTATATGCATGGATTTGCTTTGTCGTGTGCTAAACTCCTTATCACAATAATTGCATTTCAGTTTTTTTCTAGAAACAGCAGTTTCCCCATCTGCTTCGTTTCCTGGTGCTAAAAAATGTTAAATGTGTTAAAGTGTATGTTGCTTTGGTTTGGACATTAATCGTCCAAATATATATAAGTGTCCATGATTCTGATCAAATAAGTGTAAACTCTGCAGGTAACATATCTGTTGTATTATTCTTCACTTTATTTTCTATGTTTCACACACACATCTTTTCACCGCTGCACAATTTTACACCAAATCTCTTCACTAATAAATACTATAGTCAGATAGCATAAATTAAAGTCTACTTACATTTAGTTTTGTCTTCGGTGGTGTTGGGATTACTAGATTTATCACAATTGTTTGCCTGCTCTCTTCCTGGATGTTCTTTATCATCGTTTTCTGCTATATTTTCATTACTCATCTCCTCTTTTGGGACCTTAGGTTGCGTGTCAGCAACTTCAAGATTTTCTACAGAGTTGTTTGGTGGGGTTGGCTGTAAATCATAAACATAATGATAAGAGACTTAAAATGCAGTCTTTTAATTCTGTATTGCCAAGGATATAATTTGTTCTGTTAAATTGCTTCTTGATCACATTTATAATTAAAAGAAAGTATTAGACAAAAAATATAGGTGAAGTGACTATACTAACATTGAAGAGTGGATTGGCTTTGTGCATAGCGATATGTGACATGTAGCGACCACTTGTTGAAAACTGCATTCCACATTGCGCACATTGAGAAGGTGACAACCTACTACGGCCCACTGAAAATAATATACAGAATCCTTACTAATATTATAACTGCAAAGTAACTCTGTCTGTCTGTTACTCTTTCACGCCAAACCTACTGAACGGATTTAAATGAAATTTGGCATACACCTGGTCTAGAGAGGACCTGAGAAAGGACATAGGCTACTTTTTAGTGCGAAAAGGGGGTTGTAAGGGGTTTAATAGGGGGATGAAAGTTTGTATGGAAATTCGTGGTTTTTTAAGCTAGAACAATGAAACCTTCTTCATTGGCTTTTTGGGAATAGGAGCAGGAGTGGCAGTAGGAGTAGGGGTGGGCGTGGGAGTGGGTGTAGGAATGAGAGTGGGAGTTAGAGTAGGAGTGATGTGAGGGTGAGAGTGTTGCGGCAAAGAAGTACTTATTATAGATTGGCTGCCTTAAATGCACTCTTACATAAATTAATACAAAGCATCAATAATTAAGAATTCTACCCTAAGTCACTATTTCACGCGGACGAAGTCGGGCACAGCTAGTATTATAATAAAACAAAGTATCTAAAATCATAATGAAGAAACCTTTGGTTTATAAACCATTAAGGGAAATGGCTCAACAAAGGTTTTGGAACTTTATGAACTTTAGAACAAGATAAATGGAACTTTTAAACATATGTCATTTAACCAAAGTAAAAATATATAAAGCCTTACCACCCCTAGGTCTGCCTCTTCCCTTTCCTCTTTGAAGAAGTACAGGTTCCCCAGAGTTAGCGACATGACCAATCAGTTTGATATAAGGCTGTTTAGACTCTTGGCTCTCCTCTTTTAAAGCTACATCAGGTTCACTCTCTGCTTTGTCTATTACACCTTCTTCAATGAAGATTTTTTCCAGTTCCCTGCCCTTCGGATACATTGTTAATTGATAGGTAAATTTCATATATACTTATAAATTACTATAATGGCGAAAAATGTTTCAAAGGTTTCTGGCCAGAAACTACTTTAAATTATAATAGATTCTATTTAGTTAATAGAGGTTACGAGTAAATTTTTACCTGTACGGTTTCTCGCAGCCTAGAAGGAGTTTTTCTTCTCCTTTTTCCATGATTCTCTTCCTGCGCCCGTTCAGCCCTTTGCCTCGCTTCTTTTTCTTGTGCTGCAACAGCAGCTGCGGCCTCCTGTGCTATTTCTTCAGGACTTTTGGACTTTTTGGAGGGCCGGCCACGCTTTCGTTTGGGTTTATCCAGTCCTGCCATTTGCAGACTGATAGGATGTTCAACATGGTATACTCCATCACTTGTATTTACTGCAAAACAAATTTATTTTCAAAGTTATATTTCAAAGAAATAATGTACTACTCATATGAGTTTGTTAAAAAACCACATTGCATTATTAACCAAAGGCCAACAGACACTGGTACAATAATATGGTAAATAAAAATAACAATATTACAAATGTACAATGGATTTCAAGTTGTATAGCCCTTGTAATTGTGCAATAGTTCAACACTGGAAAAGTATGGCACTATTGAAGTGATTAGGTAAAAAGAAAAATTTAAGATTTTATATTTTCCAAACACTAACAAGTATAAAGATAGCTTAGAGTGCTGTATTATGATTCATCTATCTAACAATTTATCAATATTTTGTTACAGTGGCTTGGAGGAGGAGTGGAAATCTTTTGTTAGTAAAGAAAACATATACTTACTTTCATATACTATATTTTCAGCAAGCACTTCTGAGTCTGAAACTTCACTAATTGCAAGGTTTTTCTTATATTCAATTTCTCTTTCATGTAGGTCGCGAATAATTTTCTTAAACATTAACACATTGGTAAAGAGAGTTAGTAGTAGTTGTAGTAGAAAATAGAGTTAAGTTTCTTGTTAACAATGGTATGGAATAATATAAACAAATATGATTATTGTACCTGGCCGTTGATAATAAGGTTAAAAAACTCTACTGTTGCTTCTAATTGAATCGTACACCCGGGGCAAATAGTACGAGGAAGCTGACCATCATCAGACACCTTTAAAAACCATTAATCGATCAAACAATTTGATTATCAACATTGCTATCTTCTACATCTATCCAGCTGATGAGAGATGACAAAGTGTCAAAAATAATAACAGTGGCGCGAGAAAAACAAAATACATTATGCATATCATTATGTATTTGTCTATCTGCATTAATCAACTTTTTTAAATGAAAGCATGTAAAAGTATATTGCTGAAATTGAAAAAGTAACATTTTTGCACTATGCTAATGATAAGTCAAGTAAATAAAATCATCTGGTGTGATTATAGTCATGAAACTGACAAAACGGCAGCCATATTTAAATATTGTAGTCAAATCAATCCCAATTATAAGACAAATGTCTTACCTTTAAAGGTAAATAAGTATTTATGATTTCATTTAACGTTTGATTATTTTCATCATCTGTGTACAGTAAAGTACCATTGTCGTTTTCTTCACCACAAAGTCTACAAACACTCGAATTATAGAGATAAACTTCCATTATTCAAGAGCTAAGACACTTAACTACACCATGGCGCCATCTACTTCCCTTTGGATTTATAATTTTTCTGTCATTCCGCATTTGACAGATATTGTTGACTACAGATGAAACCATATGCACCATTTAAGGGTCTCATTGTTTATGATAACAAAATATGGTATTTCTCGATGCGAAATTACTTATTCTTTAATTTAAACTAAAATATGAGATTTTGTTTCGAAAAACCGAAACATAATATAGAACTGGTATGATCGCGCTGCTTTTAAATATAATTGTGTGGATTGATTTTAATTTAATGGCAAATAATTACTAATGTATGTCTGTGCCAACAATGATTGTCAGTGTCATGCAGTTCCGTAACTGCCATGTGGCAAATTGACATTCACATTCCTTTCAGAGTTTTTGATAGCCCTTTCCGGTTCAGTTTCCGGGGCTAGTAGCCGTAGTTTCGGTTTTCATTATTTTAATCGCCCTTAATCTAGTAAAATGAGAATTTATAAGGATATTATTACCGGTAATTTTTTTTAGTGTCTTAGAAAGTGTTATTTTCTGTGAATATTTTCGAAATCCACACATCTCAAAAAGTGACATTTCATAGATGGATCATAAAAAATTTTGGTCCCGTCTGGTGCCACATACTCTTCCACCGATGGTTTTACAATTGAGTTTGGAAGTGATAAACTGTGATCTAAATCGTGTAATGTAATCGTTTCAGGTGACGAGATGTTCTCGGACACATACAAAATCAAATTAGTGGATGAAGTGATTTACGAAGTCACTGGTAAATTAGAAACACGATCACAGGGTGATATCAAAATTGATGGCTTCAACCCCTCGGCCGAGGATGGGGACGAAGGAACCGACTCAGCAACTGAAAGCGGTGTAGACATAGTTCTCAACCATAGGCTAGTGGAGACGTATGCATTTGGCGACAAAAAATCTTACACCCTATACTTAAAAGACTACATGAAAAAGTGAGTGCTCTTTTATTGTTTCAGTTGCACAATTAATAGCAAAATAAGCATAAAATAGCTGATACATAAAACTCTATTAGTCAGTAGAAGCCTTAGTCATAAGTTGAGGGATTAGCATAGGAGCATTTTCTAAAGGAGCTGTTCAAAAGATGTGATTTCTTATGACTCAATTCACAATAATAAAGATTTTATATTAAGTAAAGTAAAAAAAAATTAGATACAATATGGTAAATTATTTCTACAATATACATTCAAATTTGTTACTATCAGAACAAGCTTTGCACATATCTTCATAGAGTTGAGTATGTTAGGTAATATTATTGGTCTTATTTAAGAGAAGTCAATCAAACCACATTGTCTTTATTTAACAATATATGCTAGCATCATCTAATACCAGGTAGCAAATATTCCTTTTGCACTTTGGAGACTACGATGCAATAGTAAAAAACTTTAAATGAAATAACATATATTATTATAATGTGTGTTAATGAAATAAAGTTGACAAAACATTAACCATTACTATACTCTTCTCAATATTTTATGATAATTTTTATTAATTCTATATATTTTCATTTCAGGTTAGTTTCAAAATTGGAAGAAAAATCTCCTGACCAAGTTGACATATTCAAAACAAATATGAACAAAGTTATGAAGGATATTCTAGGAAGGTTTAAAGAGCTCCAGTTCTTCACAGGAGAGTCCATGGACTGTGACGGTATGGTTGCTATGATGGAGTACAGGGACATTGATGGTGTCTCCACACCTATCATGATGTTCTTCAAACATGGTCTTGAAGAAGAGAAATTCTAATTGTATGACATAAGTGATACTCAGCATAATTCAACCTAACTATGCCTATCTATTTTTATTTATTTACAATCATGTCCGCACGGCTAAATGGCTTCGGCTACTACCCATCACAAGGCTGAACTTTTGTAAAGAATAAATGTTGCATATAATAATTGTAATAAAAGTAATTCTGTGAACAAATATTGTTTCTCTTTGAATCAATAGAAACTAGGTAATAGCTTTTAACATATTTAAATGCCTATACAGTATCACTTATACCTAGTTTCTCTCTACTCATTCATAATGACAATGTTTCCTTTTCATCATTGATCAAGCTTTGGTAATAAGTACACTACATTTTGTGATTCTATAATTTATTTTTGTTTTTAAATATATTTTTATAAGCAACATCTGACACTTTTTATTTATTTTTATTTAGATACTTTATTTCTTCTGACAAATTGAGATATCTATTTGGAGGGGCAGGCAGGGTCCCGATATATTTGGAAGATAAGTTTCTAAAATTCTGATTACCTATAGTATAGTATTAGAAGTTAATTGCTAACTGATTATCTAATTTTACTCAAAAATGCTTCCCTTTTGACCTTATTTAAATTAATATAAAACAAGATATAGTTCAAATATCAGTGAAGTTTAGGGAAGGCAAAATATTAAATTATTATTTGTCAGACAACACTTACATAAAAAGCATAAGGAAGTATCATAAAAACAGGTACATAATTCTAATGTTAATCAAGACTAAAAAGAAAACAATCGGCTGTGAGGTAGTACAAAATAGGATACAGAATAAAGAAGATGGGGCAAATAAAAGACATAAGTATCGAGGTATGTTATATTTATCGAGTTTGTATGTTGGTAATACTACAATAAAGTACGGAAATAATCGATGATCTATTCAATGTTACAACTGCGAACACTAATTACAAACATCATGCATGTTGTATATTTTAGGCGATGTCTAGGCACTATAATATGCCTTATATCGTTTTAGTCTTTAATTTCTCCGTATTTACAAAAAACAATACTCTTTCGCTCAACAGCCCTAAGGGATTTACACAAAAGGATTTGTTTCAGTTAGCTACCGGGTAGAGTCTGTTTCAATTAAATTTGCTGGATCTATAATTTAGTTATAATGTTGCACGGTTGCATCAAAATGCATTCCATTAGATTAGACACGATACTTGCAAAGTTTTCAAATACATATATTTACCTTTAGACAATAAAGATAACCTGTGCCATATGTAAGCATAAGGAATTAAGTATTTCCATTTTATACAATTTCACCGTAGGTCATGGTTATTTGAAAAGCTATTTGTCTTGACGTTTCGAGAAAATGACTCATTACCACTATAAATGTTGATGAAAAAGGTACAAGATTTATTTACAATTATTAAGTAACTATAAAAATATTATATAAGGAAATAGGATTGAGCGTAAAATTGTGTAATGTAAGAAAATGAGTGCTTCATATCTACAGAGTTTAGTTTACATACAATATATACGTTATTTAATCGTTTGACCTAGAGTATATCAAAGTACCTGAGTGTCCCGCTATTGAAAGGCAGATTGCGTTTGAGAGTCGAATTTGGCGACACTAAAGGTTATAACGATATTCAATGTCTTCGTGAGAAGAAATAATATTATGATACATAATTAAGAACAAGATTCTATTAAATTTATAAATATCTCGTAGTATAAATATATTTACATTTAGTATAATACCTAATAATTTCATTTATATTGGTGTCTTAATAATGCTTAAATATTACATTTTAAATCAATTAACTTAGCGTCGTTCTGCCACACTTGAAGATCAACTATAGTTATAAAAGTACGTACGGTTATAAAAAATCCTTATAATGCACATAATGATTATTATAACGATGCCTCTAAAAGTGCGGCCGTAAATGTAATGGAATGGTTTTTGTACAAAATCAAGTAGCAGACCTACTCTACTCGGGTAGATTAGATCACAAATAGATACAGCAGACGGAATGCAGAATACTCCTGCACCCACACAACTAAACTTATCACGACTAGCCTGTACATTGTACGATTAATATAAGTAGCTTCGTATCATCAGAATGCGTTTGTGGTTTTAAATTAATACGAAGTAATTCAGTTCTATATACAAGTATTGATTGCGTTATGAACAATGATACGAAACCACCTGCAGTTGAAAGTCTGACTTTCAACTTCAGCCACTCTTGAAAAATAGATCCATCGCTACTTAACATTATATAATTTACAAATAAGGTACTCTCTAAATGAATCGATATTAAACAGTCCTCACTGGTAGCACGTATACCGGCGCCGAGACTATCACTAAGAACACTACGTTCATCACAAGATCATCCAAGAAAACTTAACGGAATGAAGAATTATTGCTAGAATTCCAAGATCACAAGTCGAAAGTTCGTTGAGATGTCTCAACAGTTAAAAGTATTAGAGTGCGTACAAGAACGCGGGAACTCATCTCGTGAGAAGCTCTCGGGGATTATCGAGTATTCCGGCTCGCTGTAATCCGTCGCTTCCCGCTCATAGTCCCGGTCCGCCCTCGAAAACCCCAGCACCGTCTCCGAATTCCGCAGATAGCCGTTCTCCTGCTTTCGCGGATATCGGGTGTCCAGATTACGCTGGAAGTTTTCCGGATGGCAGACTAACCCGTTGCGGTTGTTCTTCTTGTCGGGCAAGGAACGCAACGAGCCGTTATTGAGGTGGTGTGCGGGCGCACCGTTATTCAGCGTCAGCGGCTGATGGTTCCCGATGTAGGTGAACCCGTTGGCGGGCATGGTGCCTCCGGCGCCTCCCGAGCGCAGCGGGCGGCGTGCAGTACCAGCCTGACCGCCCGACATAAAGAATACGCTCGGCGAGGCGTATAGCTCTAGCTACAGTTCCGTCACCGGAATAGGCCTAAGGCCGGGAGCGTGGGACGGCGGTGCGGGGTACTGAGATGGGTGGATGCCGCGTACGATACAATCCTCTTCTGTAGATATGGGTTTATGATACTCGAGGTTCTTTCGTCCCTTATTCCACTTATAGTCTTTTAGCTTTTCCTGCATACTCTTCCGATATCTATATAGAATGAGAACTAATGTTGCTATGGTCGCAACGCACGCGACAACAATGATACATATTATTGTTTGTTGTCGTGAATCATGAAGAACACAGCCTAGGTCGTCGGCATTCAGTGTCTTTAGGTATTTATCTTTCAAATGTTCTGGACTAGCGCACTGTATCTGTGTGAAATTGCTTTTCTCATTCAGGAGTTCCCGAAGCCATAATAGTTGGCAGTCACAAAAAATGGGGTTGTCCGTTAAATCTAGTTGCCTCAGCTCTTTTCCAACAAACGTCGTTTCGCTCAAAGTTATAATGGCGTTATCTCGCAGAGATACGTGTCTCAATTTAGGAAGACCCAGCAGACTTCCCTCCTCTATGATTGCTAATTTCTTGTTGTTTGCCAGAATTATAGTTTCCAAGTTTAAATTATCTTCGAAAGAACCTTTACTAATGCTTTCGAGTTGAGTCGCCCCTGTAATGTCTATTAGCTTTAGATTCTTTAATCCTTTAAAGGAATGAATTTCCAAGGAAATTAAATCATTCTGACCCAAATATAATTCTTCTAACCGCGTGAGACTGGCAAGTTGATCCGTAGGAACAGTGCTTAAGCGGTTTCCAAACAAATTGAGACTTCTAAGTCCAGGAAGGCCTCTGAATGCATATTCACTGATATTGGACAGACCGGCTCCGTTAAGATCTAAGACCGCTAATCTGTTAAGGCCGGCAAAAGCGTCGTCAGGTAGATAAGAAAAAGCATTAAGTCCTACGTGGAGTTCTGCAAGACTTCCTAGTAAGCTAAATGAACCAGTAGGTACAGAACTTAGCTGGTTGTCGTCCAAGTAAAGAATTCTTAAAGCTGATAGACCAGCGAACGCTCGCGGCTCGATTCTGGATATTCTATTCTGTCCCAAGTTTAGTTCTTCTAGTCTGGGCAGAGTGGAAAATACGCTGTTTGTAAGCTCTTCCAGGAAATTGTGTTTCAAGTTAAGAACGGTCAGGGAATTGAGTCCTTGAAACGTAGCGTTACTTACTGATGAGAGTTTGTTGTGATTTAAATGTAACTCTTGTAATTTCTTTTGGAAAGAGAATGACTTTGTTGGAATATTGACAAGATGATTTTGCGACAAATCTAAATGCTGTAGTTCAGTGTAAAACTGCATAGATGCGTCGATAGTCTTGATTTTGTTGTTGCGAATTATAAGTCTTTGTATGGAGGGGTTTAGAGCAATCGGAAGCACGTCTAGCCGGCTTTCTTCGCACACCACCACTAGCGTATCGTCGTTGCAGCTGCAGCCACCTGGGCAGTTGGCCAGCGCTGATGCTCCACTCTGCCACGCAACCAGCTCAATAGATATCAGGAACACCTGAAATTCATATATACGATCGTTAGAAAAAACACCTTTAAAATGCACAGCCTACGGGCCTACGTCAAACGCCTAAAGGGCATTTTACAAAATTCAGTATTATAATCAGTCTTAATTCCCGGTTAGCCTAATCTCTTAATATTCAACGCATACATGACCAATATTCCTTTCACTGACTTCCTTAATAGGCATACTAATTTTGCTTTGAATAAATACCGCGAAATTTTGAAGAAATCGACAGCCCCTCCATTATAAAATAACAGAATCAATGTAGAAAGCGGAGCTCGGTGAAGCGGGATGAAAAAAGTAAAACAGAAATTATTGGAATGGGAATTTCGCGAAGTTTTAATTTATTAAAATGCGCCCGACGAGAGCCCGGGGCAGAGACGGGCAGCTCCTTTGCTTCAAAGGCTAGCTAGCGCTTTTATTACTTTTCCCTTTACAACAATTAGCAGATCTGAGCGACGCGGAGATTTCCTCTCCGGATTCGCGGAGTTAATTACGTTAGGCGATTACCGATGCAACATCAACAGTCTATGTTTTACAAAGATAGTTTGGAGCAAACAAGTTTATTACTCGCTGGACGAAATCCAATTGTAATATTCTTCAGCCGCGTCGCGCTTTGTGGACACAAGTCTGGGCGTACGCCATTTTTTGACATAATACTTTATTTAACTTATCTTTTCAAAATTAAGAAGCTACTCAAAATACTACTAAATTGATAACATACTGGTAGTTAGTTTCTGCTCGCATCTCTTTTAAGAATTATTCTGAACCCGATTTTGACATATAGCTTAAGTAAATGTTAATGCTGTTGAGCTATTTTCATTATCCAAGCTTAATAATATCGGTGATATACACTGAAAAAGGTTCAGCTGTGCGGACTCCGTCCGAATGGATAGCGAGGCCTGTAGCGTTCCAGCTCAAATCCAATAAACTGCTGTATTTTCACAAGCCCTATTGTTTTATGAATGTCCCGTTGTTTTTCGTAAATAAGTTTTCTGTTAACAATTCACGTGTTCGTATAGATTTTAGCGAAAGCTTTTGATTTATTCGACATGGATTACGTTCTTTCAACGAATACGTCCTCGTTGGACGAACGTTTCTTGTATACTATGGCTCTATATTTTTTATTACAGGCGCTCATCAACGAACATTGTGTTTTATTTATTAAGTCAGTTAGTGTTTACTACATATAAAAAAATCTTTTATATGATATCTAAGATCTATCTTTCTAATTTTTTATATTATATTATAAGAGTAAAATAAGATTTATCTTACAATAGTGTATACATAGGTAAAATAAAAGAAGCTGGAAAATAGAGCGTATTTGTTTTTTTTTTGTCAGAAACTTTCCAAATTTGGGGGTTGGCTTGATGGAAAGTGAAATGTCTCAACCCTAAAACATCTAATTAAGATGTGCTGTTGACCTGTTTTCGTTTTCTAGATTGGGAAGTCCACTTTTATAATAATAACACGTTATATAATTGAGATGTTAGAGAATAGTTGATATAATTAAACAATGTGAAACTTTATAAAATTTATGTATTGTTCAGTTTTTTTAGCAAATCTTCGTGCGTATTGTATAAAAAATAAACCCGGTGGAATGTACTAATGGTAACTAATTATGTATAGAAAGCTAATGTAATAAAAAGTTGCAAAAGCGTAACACAAATTGGCGTGTCTATAGTTAAAACATTCAGCCATGCGAGTTGACGCGTAGACGCTGTGCGTTTCTAACTCTTTAATTAGTTACTTTACTCGGCACAGCGTAAAAGCACTCGGTAATTATTTTTAAACATAACTTTTGTAATAAATAAAAGTACAAGTATCGTATCTCAATTTATACACATAAACTTTTCATTTAAACTATTCTGTCTAGATATTTTTTGCAGTTGTATATAGGACTAGCTGTGCCCGCGACTTCGTCCGGGTGGAATAGTGACTTGTGGTAGAATTTTCAATTATTTAGGCTGTTTATTAATTTATGTAAGGGGCATTTAGGGCAGCCATTCTATATTGCAAGTGCTACTTTGCCGCAACACTCTCACCTCACATCACTCCTACTCTAACTCCCCCTCCCATTCCCACTCGCACTCGCACTCCCCCTCCCACTTCTATGCCCAAAAAGCCAAAGAAGAGAAGTTTCATTGTTCTAGCTTTAAAGCCACGAATTCCACGAATTTTCATCCCCTTTTTCAACCCCTATTAACCCTTATTTGGTATTAGAAGTAGCCTATGTTCTTTCTCAGGCTCTAAAATATCTATTTACCAAATTTCATTTAAATCAGTTCAGTAGTTTCGGAGTTAAAGCCGAACAGACAGACAGATAGAGAGTTACTTTCGCATTTATATATTATAATATTTTTTTTTTTGAAGTTGGATGAATTTGAAATGGTATGGATAACACGGTTTGATTTTGTTCGATATTTATATCAATTTGTTAAATGTAAAAAAGTAATTATAGTGACGTGACTACAATAGTTAGACATATTTGGTCTCCGATGTTTTTGAAGATATATTATATCGATATATTCTATAATATTGTCGAACATTTTTTTGTCCTATATGTATGCGATGAAAGATATTTTTTGGCAAATTTTTTTACACCTCCCGTTGATTTTTATAGAAATTTCTAGAGATTTCTATCGTAATGTAGTATTTTACTCAGTTATAATGTAGCTTTCTAATGAAAAAATAATTATTCAAATCGGTGCAGTAGTTTTTGAGTTTACTCATTACATACAAAAATACAAATCTTTCCTCTTTATAATATTAGTGTAGATAGCTGTTACCCACGATATTCGTATCCCGTCGTACGCGTCCCGCCGTTCGGGTCGTTCTTGCAAGTTAATCTTAAAAGATAGACATGTAGCGTGGCGGACTTTTTTTAGATCATTTATAGAGGAATAATTCTTTCATACACAGTTTTTAGGTATTTTAAACCGTTTTCGCAGCGTACGCATCTGAAACATACAGAGATGAAAAATTTCCCCCGTTTTGTTCACATTTCTCGCTGTATCTTCGCTCCTATTAGTCACATCGCAATGTGGCCTTCCTCCATAGTTGCCCTAACCAACACGAACGAACAAAGATTTTTTTAATTCGAACCCGTACTTCCTAAGATTAGCGCGTTCAAACAAACTCTTCAGCTTTATATATTAGTATAGATTATTCTCATGTCAGTGATGTAAGATACGATGAAGTAAGTCGCCAATTATGTCAGATTTGTATGAAATCTTAGACTTGACATGAATCACAACGATTATGAAGATTGCACCCTTGGACGAGATAAATAATATATAATATTTGGAGTAACATCGAAAGAATCACAAAAATAAATAAAATAAAATGTTTTTAATGCAAACACACTGCTCACATTTTTTGACGTAAGACAAATGTATAATAAGGAATGATTGCATTTAAATAAATTAAAAATTAACCAAGTCCTTATGCCGGCGAGGTTGAGTACAATCCTTCGGCAAAGGATAACGTTACCGTTATTCAAATTAGTGAATGAATTTGCAGGGTTTGTGATTAAAAATACGAGAGCGGAGCGTCGGATGCGGAATAACAAGCGATTCTGGAATTAGGCCGAGTGACAGAACGAAAACGAATATCATTATAACATAGACCTAATTGTATATTTAAATACTAAAGATAAGAATGCAAAGCTGAAGAGTTTGTTTGTGTTCTCTTCTCGCTAATCTCAGAAATGTTGTGTTGGTTAGAGCATTTATCGAGGAAGGATTATAAAACATCGCCGTGATTGAAAAAAATTGGAAAAATTATTCGAGGCGTACGGTTCATAATACTCAAAAAATATATTTGAAACAATCATTCCTCTATAAATGATCGAAGTAAAATTCCGTGACGCTATATGTCTATGTTCTAATATTAACTTGAAGGGACGCGACCGATGTCAGCTTAAGTTCATAAAGGTGAAGGGGATTGCAAAAGATTGAATTTGGATGCCCAAATAAACGATTCTCGTGGACGAAGTCGCTAACACAGCTAGTGGTACAAAAACGTAAAACTAGTGTTTTACAAAACTATTCTCAACAGGAGAGTGCCCTAAATTTCGACCTTCTATTATTTTATCGTAAGTTCTATAATCTACATAAACAATATGAGAATATAAAAATAAGCTCGGTCGGAAAGGAAAACTTGTATAACCTACTTACACAGGTAAGTTACTAAGCAAGTACCTCGTTTAATCTTTTGCAATATTCAGAGCGGAAATGCTACAAAATTAGCTCACATATTTTAGTTTTCAAAGTGACGCCGGTTGCCAAAAGTGGCTGTTTGACGTGTGCCAGGCTTCAATTTTCACTTTATCACAATTTGCACACGACATTTCATTTCTACTTTGCCATGTCCATTTCGTGTTATAAAGTGGAGCGTTTTCAAAAATATATTTTCAAGTCGGAATCCGCCGTTTCTCTGTGCCAGATATAACCTAAATTATCAACGTGTTTTAATTAAGGGAATTTGCATTTACGAAAGATATAGCGCAAACGACTAAGTAGGTAGAGTACTTTACACCGCAACATTTTACGGATTTCACTGTTTATCGTATTCATTACTTGAAAAATATTAATGCAAATGAATTGATATTTTTGAAGTTCCACGACTTCACGTTGCAAATGGATCTGGCAGAAACCTTTATCTACTTAGTAATGATGTGCATACGTAAATCTCAAAGTTTAAGTAGTTCTGAATTTTGTATTACCTATTCGAGATAAAGTTTTGTAAATGTAGGTTTATGTAAGTTTTGGATAAACAGATAATTAGTTCCTTAGTAGAGATACGAAATTCACGAATCGCTTGCCCACTGCTCGCATTAATTAATCTATGATACCGCCATATTACGAACAGAAAAAAAAAGATAACTTCAAAAAAAACTGAAGTATTTAATTGAATAGATACGTAAGAATATTTATCTTTGAATATAATAATGAATAAATAAAATAAGATAGGGGCCAGATGGATTATTAGATTATTGTATTATTTAGATTTGCATGCTTTGGGAGAGGTCTACGTCCAGCTGTGGACCCAAACGGGCTGATAATGATGATGATGATGATAGTATAGTGATAATAGTTTGGTTTTATAAATAGACCGTGAATAAAAGACAAACAAACAGACCCAAAATACATTGTCGTATTTAGATTAAATTTGCATGGATTATTGACCATAGACGGTTTTATTTTAAGATTAAAAAAGCACGAACAATAATAATGTATTTCGGCCAGGAATCCAGACCGAGCTGTAACTAAAACCAATTTTGGAGGCTCGAGTGCATTGATACGAAAAATAAAAGCTCCCACGGCCGTTCGGGTTATTACAGCGAGCATTTTGCGAATATTTGCGTTTTCCTGGCCATTTCACTTTGGTATTCGTTAGTGTTGACCATTCAAAGAACGAGAGGTGATTGTGCGGCGAGTGGCGAGCGAAGGAAACAGTCGGGGCCCTAGGCTGTCAGGGTAGAAATGCGATTAGAGATTAATTATTTCTGAACTAAATTACCATGTCAACATTCATTGATAATGAGTCAACAGAAGTAGTTCTGCACATATGAATTGCTGTTAAATGGTATAATGATTTAAATATTATAAAGAGTGTAAATAATTTAAAAATCAAAAATAAATTGAAAAATTTTTCGACTCGGGCAGGACTTGAACCGGCATCGTCAGCGTTCCGTGCTGTTGCTCTCCTGCCCGAGGCGAAAATTTACAATTTATTTTCGATTTTTAAATTATATAGTGCCTTCATGTGGAATAACATGTAAACAATAATAAAGTTTTCAAAAGTTAAAATAAATTTTAGAAGAATATATTCCTTTAATCAAAAGAGGCAATTTTTAGCCGCTAATATTTTACATCATGTACCTAATTAAAACGAAGGCTAGGTTTTCTTATCAACAATAAAATATTTTCAAGTGTATTTGTGAGATTGATTCTGTGCCCTGCCCGACGGAAACGATCTCTTGTTTACCCGGGATTCCAATCCAGGACCTGTAGCACTTAACGCAATGTTAAGCAACATTAAACCATTTGGCTACAGAGGTTGAACATAATGCAAGCTAAATACGGGGCCTTTAGAAAAGCAGCAGCGACCCTGGGCAAAATGCATTTTCCCGGTTCATTTGTTGGCGACAAACGTTCAGCAAATGAGTGGGGTATTATGCAGATTTTGTACCTGGACGCACGCAGCCGTGCGACAACAGCGAGCCGTTTAATCGGAAACTGTTAATTGTCGGCGAATCGCTGGCGAATTGTCGGCGATTTGTCGGCCAAATAGACGGGTTCGATGTATGCGGATTTAATTACGATAACTGCGACGAATTGTTTGCGGAGCGTTCGCGCGCGCCTTATCAATATTTTTGACAGATTTATTGTTGTATGCTAATTGCTCGTACTCATTGGGAAACATTTCAATACTTGTAAGTTAATTGTGATTGTTAATAAAGAGAAATAATTGGCTGTTACAACTTGAACAAAGTTGTAATATTTGTACCCTTGGTCTTTTCTATTAATTATACTGTAAATTCGACAAGAAAATTTGAATGTTGTAGAAATGTAAAAATGTATGTATTTCACCTTAATACATTGCTTTAAAATTCATTGTTGCTCTTCACTTATTATTAATAAATAAATAAAAAAAAAATCTATCAAATTTATTTCTAACTGAAAATGTTAATAAGTAACTTAAATTGTTTAAATAAAACACTTTAACGGTTTAAAGCCGTGACCACGGCTGCTGCAAAGCATCCGAAACGTCGGCCCGAAGTTAAAAATCATTTTCAAATAAGTTTATCTAATATATCGCGTGTCAAACCGTTAAACTCGAGTAAACTATAGACAGTACTTAACTTAAATTGTATTCTAGGTGTCTGTAAAGATTTGTACCTATTGTATTAATATAATTTCATTGTCACCAATAGAAGAAACTAGCCATTTACATCATAGGTAGTATCTGTGTGGTGGATAGTGCTTAGGGTTGCCAACAAGTAGAGAATCTACTACATTTTCTACAATTAAACACTTTTGTCTACTAACGTCTTTTACAACTTTTGTTGTTTTTTTTTTGATAAGGGTGATATACCTACTGTGTTATATTTTTATGCATCGATATACATAATACTATACTTCGTCAAAAAATTATAGCAGCACTATTAATTTTTCCAACTACATACATACATATGTAATTATCGTGTCGTAAATTTGTGCCAAAACTTTAATATATTAACTTATATATAGTTGTATTGTAGGCGCCATAACTATATTTAGCAAATAAAGTACACTTACTAAAAAAACATTGGATGCGAAGACATTGGCTAGCCGGCTCGCGAACCGCGGCGCCATCTGGGAACAAGAGGAGACACGAATTAGTCGCTGCAACTGATAATTTTAATCCAACAAATTGCAATCGTGTTTGAGTTGCAAATGCCCACGAGCTGTTCTCCCCCATCGCTCCCCCTTTACTCATCACTCAACCCCACACATTTCCTATTTATGTTTTTTAGCTCCTATAATTGGGAAATGTTACATATTGAACAATTATTATTATATAATATTGTTTTTATTGTAAAAATATTTGAGTAAGACTGAAGCTATGACACACGCAGAACTCGATCCACGACCGATTGTGGACCGAGCATTTGTGACTATTTACACAATTAGGTACCTTAATGAATTCTAGGTAAATAATTCTTATTAGGGAAAAATAACTTTAAAAGGGTTATTATAAAACTATTATGATCATCTACTTAATACTAAGGTCAAACCAAATAAGTTTTTAAATAACTATACTGGAAATACCATTAATAAGGGCATAATAAAGACTATTTTAATATACTGATCCTATAGAAGTAGGTTCGATTTAGTATGTTTAGTTTGCCAACATATATTTAATTCAGTTTATATTGAACATTGTGACTGAATAACCGCAAAAATATCTGTGTAAAACTGCGGTCGAATGTGGACATAGAATAGCATTTTATCTCACAAAGTGTAACGTGTTGACAAAGGCTTTAATGCTTGCGAGTTTAGGACCTTTGTCGGATGCTGGCTGTTGACCTCACACTCCACAGATACGTCTCGCACAAGACGCAATAACCTAACCGTATAGAGCACAGATTCAATATATTGTATTGAACGATATTTAAGATGAGAGGTTGTCAGATATTGGTCCCTTGTATCCTTCTATATATACAATACATATACTCGTAACTTTATAGAACTAATTTTTATAGAGATATAAGCAACTAACATTTTATTCTGAATTTAAAATTTTAAACACTATTTCGAACCCACTTACTTGCTATACACTTACATACACACAAAAGTACCGACATATAAATCTTGTACCGTTTCTAGTACCCATTTTTAATCAATGACTATAATAAATAATCAATATTACTGAAATGATTAAATAAGAAAGTTTATTTCATATTGTCAGTATATAAGGATTAGCTATGTAATATAGCGAGCGAGGAAGATAGCGAGCTATTTCCCATACATATAAATAAATAGTCAGTAAATTAATTAAATATTTCTACTCTCGATTATTCGTAGAGATATAACAGAACTATCGTCGCGTGTAACGCAATAAAGCGAAATACCGAAGTGTAAGTTAATTTGATAAATGTTTGCGGCGTTACGAAGAACGAACTCACGCTCCAAGGCGCTGGCAGCGGTCTGGTCTGCGGTCGCGTGAATTTTCACTCTACCCTCAACAAACTAGCGTTGTCATTACCCGGCTTTTTGTTTTGCATTCGTAAATACCTTCTCGACGGAGTGACGTCGCAAATTACTTTTAGCGTGTTTCGGGCGCAGTAACGAGCGGCGGCCGGCCCGCAAACAAACCGACCCACTAAAACTTTTCAGAGACCACTCGTTCACTGAAATTCCGTTGCGTCACAGCTACCACTGTTACTGCGAAACTATTTAAATGTATAAAAGTCCCAAGTCAAAATGTTTGCACTCTCGTCGTTTAGATACTCTTGCGTTTAGCGATATGCTGAAACTGCAGTTTTTCATTATAGAAAATGCGCGCGCTACTGTGCCACTGACTGTAACAGTTTCCGCTGAAGTCCCATTCTCAGATATTCGCGTACATACCTACTACATCCAGACAAAAATAATTTTAAATCATCTTTATATTTTTTTAATTTAGAGGCTATGTATGCTATATAGTTTATAAATACAAATATATCTGACCTCTGTAGTTATTATTAAATCGCGTTAAACACTAGGGGTCCTGGGTTCCAATCCTTGGGAAACAATAGTTTGTTTCGGTTGGGCAGGGCACAGAAGTCTGATCAACCGACCAGTAAAACAGATACAGAAATGAGATCGCTCCATGCCCCACGAGGAAAAACTGGATATACACACTACATATATATGTATATAATGAGCAACATTGTGTTCACTACAAATAAGTCTATTTTTCACTGTCCATTCTCTCATTCATGTGATTTATATGTCTTGTCGTGATCGAGAAATAAACAACGCTACTATACAATACAAGATATGAATGAGCGTGAATTCTTTTCAAAGGAAATATCATAATAAGGCTTCTATTAAATCTACTATGAGAATAGGAACAGTAAATGTGCGCATCATGGTTGCCCCAGTAATTACGATAATGTCTAGAATAATGAAATCGTTATAAGCATACCCTTCTAAGTGCATAATGACTCCTGGGAACAGACGCGTGTTTCTGTGGACATGTTACATCTGTTCTGTTCGTTTTAAATTGGCTGTACGTGAAGGAACAAACTTAGACAAAAATGCTTTAAAATAATAAATAAGCTGCATAAAATTATTTAAATTTAAAAAATAGAAAACACGGGCTGAACACTGTAGACCAGGTCACGATAAGACAACAGCAACGTGGATTCGATTCTCGTCTGTGTCATCGAATTTCTTTTTATATAAAGAGTTTGTTTATCTATATAAAGATTAGTTCAATGTAGAGCATAATAATAAGTAATGTGTTAAATATTCTGAACAATTTTCAGACATAACATTTATCTATTTAGTAGTTTATTATCTTAAGTTATACATATTTTAAATTATTTAAATTTAGTACTAAGAATCATTATTATTAATTTGGTAGTTGTTAGTATACCAATAGTATTGGCAAATACATTTTTTTTATCTTTCTTTCTACCTATAGCGTACACACAAGCCATATTATGTTTCCTTTGTAAATGCCATTCTCTCTTGTTAGAATGACACTTATCCCTCCGTGATCGGATCGCGAATATCTTCCACACTAAATTTACACCCGACCCGCGCACCTAAGGCGGGTTACTACCCCCAATACTCGCTTATCAAAATATATCGCACGAACGTTTAGTTCGAAATTCTCTATGTAAATAAATCACACGGTATAAATATGTTTACAGAGCAAAATAGTGATAAACGCGGAAGCACAACGATTTTTTCCTTTAAAGTTGCTTATATGTACAAAGCAAAGTCGTATATTTAACTGCCTTGTCGGTCTAGTGCAGTGTCTCGCAAACTGTGTGCCGCGGCACACTGGTGTGCCGCGGGAGAATGTTAAGTGTGCCGCAAAAGATTTTCCAAGTTGCACTAGATATTCTGAAATTAATCTATAAACCAATTTCTGATAACTATAAAATTACCCAAAAAGTAATAATTTAACTTAACTAAATAACCCAGAACGCAGGTACTCGTAACAACAAGATGCACAAGCGAGGGCGAATTGGTTAGAAAAGCGCTGGGCGTGGTTTTTCCCCCACTCAACGTATTTAATAATGTAATTTAGCTTAGTGTGCCGCGGAAAAAAAAATCATCAGTTAGCGTGCCGCAGACTAAAAAAGTTTGCGAGACACTGGTCTAGTGTATACACTCAACTGTTTAACTAGGTCCACGGTTCGAATCCAGAGTTAAACAAAAAAAATGTACCAGCTCGAAGTTTGGAAGCATGAGGTCGTTAAAACCCACCTATTCTCACTGTTGTAGCACGGTGAGCTTAAGCTTATACACTCTCCATAAAAGTGTTCTAAAGTGACATTACTATGTTGAAATGAAAAGTTTCCATTCATCAAATACTTATAAGCATATACTTTCAAACACGTCGTGGCCTATGTTAAGTGTAAAAGTAGACCAATCTGCCACGAACAAAAGATACAATTATAATAACATCGAAGACGTTCATACAATTACCGATAACAAGACTAGCCCACTTTCGAGATGGCAGATAAAAAATCCATTAGCTTCTAGTAATTACAATGCGAAGATTTGCTTTGTTCCTGCAGCGAGATACACGCTTCGATTATAATTATTATTAGCAACGTGAAAATGGGGTAAGAAACGCGGTCACCTTTTATGAAACAGTTTTTAAAGTAGAAAATATTTTAAATAGAGGAGAGATTAAGGTGATGGTAGATGAAATACCCCAGATATATAACATCTGAACAAGGGCCTCTGGTTCGTGACCCGGACGGAACTTCGTTATTATCCATTTGATATCCAGATTTTTAGGGAATTTAAGCAACTTTTAAATTGATTTTCCACAGTTACTTAAAATGACAAGAACATACATACGCTTTTGTTATGGAAAAAACTTAATTCTCAAGTGCAATTTGAAGAAATCTTTGATCTTACACTGATCACTTTGTACGGGTATAGTCTGTAAGTTTTATTCCTCGTGGTATTTTTTACCAAGACACCGATGCGATGAGTAGAAGCTAGTATATCTTATCTTGCCAAAAATAAGAACAAATTATGGCCACAAAATGTTAACATTTCATGGAGCACAGTTGTTTAACAATCTCCCATCGCACCTCAAACGTTTGCCGCCAGTGGCGTTCAAGAAACAACTTTTCATCCATGTGTTTACAAACACAGCGTAATGCGTAATCCTTAGTCATAATAATTTCTTGAGCGTTGCACGCGGGTAGAATTGTAAAATTAATGTTGATTTGTATAGTATTCTCAAGTAAGTGATCTTGTATCTTTTTTGAGAAATAAATGTCTTTAAACCTTAAACCTTATATCATAAATTTCAATGAAATCAATATGTTAATTACGTTTCAGCCTGGGTAAACAATGCGGTTTCATACAATTTTCTAAGTCCCCGTAGATTCTCAGACACATCGGTTTCACGGAGCGGTGAAGATACGAGCAAATCGTCAGTAACTGCTTTCCTCGCTCGCAAATTAACCCAGCGCCGCATGATCCCTAATTTCAGATATATCTCCAGGAATAAATAGGGGATTAGGTCGTGTAAATAAGTACGCGTCACGGTTTCTCGTTGCGCGATAAGGACGCCGATGAAATTGCACGGCATTTCAGGGTTAAAGTAATAAGCGCCAGCGTTTTATTAACAA